TGAGTAGCTGAATTACCAACCCACTCGGCAGAATATGCTGCCAAACTGAGACAGGTAAGCTTGAAAGGTTGAGTCCATATCCAGCACAAGTCTTAAGTTACACATACCAAGTTTTATTTTTCTATTGTTTTGATTTAAATGTAATACACTTAACTGGTTGACAAAGAATTAATTATACTTTACATAACTAGTGATAAATAACTGATATTGCTTGACTTCTTGTGTTTATTGTTTGAGATGATGTTTAACTCATGTTAAATGTTTAACTGTGTTGACTCATAACCCCCCATGTTTCCTTTTCAGTGAAATTTCTGCTTCATAATGCCGGAGTTAAATCGCAGCACCGTGACTGAATTCATCCTTACTGGATTCCCTGGACTTCATCCAGAGTACCAAGGCCTTGTCTCAGCAATACTATTCTTAGTTTATGTCTTTACTTTAACAGGCAATGTTACAATTATTTTGTTATTTGCAACCAACCGTAGTCTCCATAAGCCAATGTATTATATAATTCTAAATTTGTGTACATGTGACATCCTTTTCAGCACAACCACCTTACCTAAGATTATTAGTAAGTATTGGTTTCAATCAGGAACCATTTCATTTACTGCTTGCTTTGTCCAGATGTACTTTGTTCACTATCTTGGAACAGTGAATTCCTTTATTCTCTTCCTGATGGCTTTCGATAGGTATGTGGCAATCTGTCATCCTCTCAGATATCCCATTGTTCTTAAAAATTCCACAGTTCTAATTCTCAGTATTACAGCATGGGTTATATCCCAGGGAAGCAATTTAATGATAACTATTAGAGCTTACCCTCTACCATACTGTGCCTCAAACATCATCAACCACTGCTTCTGTGATCATATTGGCATAACAACCCTGGCATGCACTGACAGAGCCCCGTATGGGTTTCCTGCTTTCTTATTTGCAATGTTTAGCTTACTAGGACCTTTGGCATTTATAATGTTCTCCTATTGCTCTATAATCATAGCAGTACTTAAGATTGCAAATATAAAAGGTCGTAAAAAAGTTCTGTCCACCTGCAGTACTCAGCTGATTATAATCTCACTCTATTTTTTGCCAAGATGTTTTGTGTATTTAGCCAGCAATGTTGGCCTTCAATTTAGTGCTGATATGCGAATAGTAATAATCATGCTGTATAGTCTTTTGCCCCCAATGATTAATCCACTGATTTATTGCTTAAGAGCTAAAGACATGAGAGAATGCTTGTGGAAGCAATTTAATAGACGGATCATTCCAGTAAAGACACAAGTTTCATCTGTTAACAACTGATAAACTGATGCCTTCATTAATGTTTTTCCATTCTGCCTGTTTAGCCTTTTCTATTTGGGACGACTAGAATGTTTCATTGTCTTTTGTAACGCCCAGCACAGAAATGCACTTTTTTTTTCCAGGTACACCTACAAAAGATACTCACTGTACCACCGGTAAAATAAATACTGCTGATCATTGTCTTTTTTAATTTTTTTTTCTTAAGTAGTTTTTTAGAGCAAGCCCTTTGACTTACCATAATATTTACTGACTGTAAATGTTACATCGGTTGCAACATTTGTACAAATTTGTTGTATTTGGCCAAGGTAGCATGATTGACTAAAACAGCCATTACTGATCAATAATTATTATTGACTGAAGTATTTCAAAAAGATTTTTTTTTATCAACGTTGTCCACCTTCAGGGCCACAAAACAGCTTGAAGTACATAAAAAATAGTTCAAATCACTGTCTTTAGTGCAGTTTTGTCAACTTAACTACCACAATTAAGAGGTGAGGGATTCATGTTAACATATTTGTCTTGTGTTTTCTTTCCACCTGACAGAAAATAGTAGGCAACTCCTTATTTTTGCTCTACTGGTATTTTAAATAACTTAAAGACATTTTCTTTTATTAAATATATCCGTATAACGAACTCTGCTGTGCTCAGAGCTGTTCAAGGCCTTAATGGATCCCTTCTCTCTTTCCGTCAGCTTTATTAACATGAGCAAAACAAAATACTATATTGCCAATGCACTGTATGAATATTGAATATTGATTTTATACAGAAATCTATAATGTATGTACATATACACTTTTTGAACAGTGTACAAAACTCCAACAGTAGAGCTAACTATTTTTTTTTAAAGAAAACCAGGACAAGTACATGGACAGTTGCTTGGTACTGCTGCGGTACGAGAGCCTACAGCAGTTTCCTACGACTATCCAGACGTACAACATTACTACTCACCACAAGTGGTATTTCACACCCACCAGCTATGGCCTGCCTCATTATGCTACAGTACCTTCATTATTACCAGCACTTTAGCAGATTATCCGTTTCTAAAGATCAGTCATCTCCAGCTCATGAGATACAGCTGCCATCAGGTCAGACTGGGAAAAATGGTAGTCCGCCTCTGTGAGGACCAAGAAGCATGAACCTCTTAGAGACAAAGACGTAGAGGTACAACACTGAAGGAGTTCAGCTCTACGCAACCTTCCGCCCTAGGATGAGAGGAGCCCCTAAACTGAATAGTTCAACTAATTCGGTCATAGCTCATCTGCGAGCCACAGAGAAACGGCTCAAGAAGGATCCGGAAAAGGCAGGAGGATCTATTCGGAGGAGACTGGCAAGCTTATCCAGGCTGGTTACGTCAAGATGCTTCTGCCTAACAAAATTAACCAATTTGAGGAGGCATGGTACCTTCCTCATCATCTTGTGTGCAACAACAAGAAGTCCAGACTGGTCTTCAATTGCGCTTACGGTTATCAACCTTCGGCCTCACAACAGTGGAACCTAAAGACAATCTTTCCGATGCTTCTCAGTTCAGTATGTGGAAGAAGCTGGAAGAGGCCACTCGTCAAGCAAACCCGGGTGCTCCAGGGTCTGAAATATCACCAAACTACCAACCTTCAGTAAGCGGGGCTCCTTCTGCTGAGGAAGTGTCGAGCGCGTAGTTTCCCAGAGGAGGTCACCGCTATCAAAGCACAGAAACCGGTGCCAAACCACAGTTGGGAGAAGGGCTGGGGTTCCATCTTTAAGTGTCTCACGACCTGCACCATCCACATCGGAGTCCTCAAATCAAGCCACTATATGTGTCATGGTATGTGTCAGCTGATGTCGCTGACCAGGACCCCATCACTCCTAGCATTCTGCTCATTGGGCGGCTGGATGCATCGCGGCTTCAAGGCACCTGTGCTCTAGCATGCATCGGAAGACGCCGGAAGGGGTAGCAGGTCATTCATAACATCGCTGTAGACTCAGTTGTTCTGATAGTTGACCCATCGCTTCCCAGAGTTCAGTGGCCCATCGGGAAAGTTTGTAAGACAGTCCCTAGTCAGGCCGGATGTCCTGGTGAACGGTAAGGTCTACACAAGACGTTTGATCGTCTGATCAAGCTCCCTGTGTTCAAGGATGATAGTTCCTGTTATTACACATTTGCTGCTCAAGTTTGGGGACGGCTGTTGTGAATTCTTCATGGACAGAGACTATATTGTTAAGACGCTCTCATTTATTTTCACTTTATTTTGACATCGCAAACTGTTTCCATTTCTAGTCGGGCAAATTGTATACTGTATGCTATGCAACACTGACAGTATAGTCAGATCGAATCATTGATGATAAACTCCATCCATCCATCTTTCAAAACCATTGGTTCTATCTCATCATCTGTCACCAAGTTATCGCGCTGCATGCAAAAGTCACAACAGTAAAATGTGGAACAACCAGATGCTGTGGAGGAAGAAAGAAGGAGAAAATTTGTCTATGTATATTTGAATAGACTTCTGCGCAGAAGGACCGAGCTGAATAGTTTACAATCAGGCAGCTGCCAAGGGGAGCATTTATGTGAGCCGATGGACAGAGTCAAGTTTAGCAAAGAGTTCTGTGGGACCTTCCGTTATACGAGTGATTTGACGGAACTCAGAAAAACGAATGAACTAAGTCTTTTCATCAAAGGCAAAAAGTTTGATGGGAAGCAAGCGCACAACAGTTCAGTTCCATAGCTGTGCATTGTGTGCCTAAGATGACATGACCCCCCCCTGTGACTTACTCTCAAACAATCAGAACGATGGATTTCATCTACCTGTATTATAATGAGCCATAATGTACAGTACCTGTTTACATTGACCTGAGCGTTCCAAATCACTGTGCACTCAAAACAAAAGTTAGATTTTGCGCGACCGTGTTGTCTTTTTGAGCTTGAGAGTTAGTAATGTTGCATAGAAACAGCAACACGTACGGGACTATTTTCTCATTGTGAAATCCAATACACAACGTATTGTGGCTACAACTATTTTGTGCTGAAAGGCATCTTATTTAATATTCAGAATATCGCTGGTATTATGAGCAAGCAATAATGTACCTAAGGCAGTACTTTAACATCAAATAATGTTACAGTACGAGGGTGTTGTTGCCCGATCCGCAGCACAGCCTCTCGTACCTTATTGCTTAAGTGAAATGATAGGAATGTTCCTTCTTATGCACAGCATGCACAGTATTTCGTGCATGAGCAACAGTTAAATAAAAAATATTGGTGAAAACTAAAATACTAGAAACCATTGATGAATACGATACTGATGAGACAAAAGTTGCCGGTAACCTAAACCTTTATTTTGTAAGTCATTCTAACTCTTTAGATTTGGCAGGTTAAAACTTTAAAGAGATCCAACAGTTCCCACAATGAGTGACAGGAGAGTTGGTGATCCACAAGGAATACGAGTCGACGGATATGCACCTTCATCACAAGGCACGCTTCCCAAAGTGTTTTTAAGAGCTGAATTAACAACTGACTCTGCAGAACATGCTGCCAAACTGCATGACAGGTAAGCTTGAAAGAATGAGTCGTAGAAATTGATATTGATTTGAATGTAATACTGGTTAACAAAGAAATAACTATGCTTTACATAACTAATGATAAATAACTGATATTGCTGGACTTCTAGTGTTTACTGTTTGATATGATGTTTAAGTGTTGACTCATAACCCCCATGTTTCCTTTTCAGTGAAATTTCTGCTTCATAATGCCGGAGTTCAATCGCAGCACTGTGACTGAATTCATCCTTACTGGATTTCCTGGACTTCATCCAGAGTACCAAGGCCTTGTCTCAGCAATACTGTTCTTAGTTTATCTCTTAACTTTAACAGGCAATGTTACAATTCTTTTTTTATTTGCAACCAACCGTAGTCTCCATAAGCCAATGTATTATATAATTCTAAATCTGTGTACATGTGACATCCTTTTTAGCACAACTACCTTACCTAAGATTATTAGTAAGTATTGGTTTAATTCAGGAACCATTTCATTTACTGCTTGCTTTGTCCAAATGTACTTTGTTCACTATCTTGGAACAGTGAATTCCTTTATTCTCTTCCTGATGGCTTTAGATAGGTATGTGGCGATCTGCCATCCTCTTAGCTATCTCATTGTTCTTAAAAATTCCACAATCCTAATTCTCAGTATTACTGCATGGGTTCTATCCCTGCCAACCAATTTAATCATAACTATTAGAGCTTACCCTCTGCCATACTGTGCCTCAAACATCATCAACCACTGCTACTGTGATCATATTGGCATAACTACCCTGGCATGCACTGACAGAGCCCCGTATGGGTTTCTTGCTTTTGTATTTGCAATGATAGTTTTACTAGGACCTTTGGCATTTATAATATTCTCCTATTGCTCGATAATTGTGGCAGTACTGAAGATAGCAGATATAAAAGGTCGTAAAAAATCTCTGTCCACTTGCAGTACTCAGGTGATTATAATCTCACTCTATTATTTGCCAAGATGTTTTGTGTATTTATCCAGCAATGTTGGCATTCGATTTAGTGCTGATATACGAATAGTAATAATCATGCTGTATAGCCTTTTGCCCCCAATGATTAATCCACTTATTTATTGCTTAAGAGCTAAAGACATGAGAGAAAGCCTGTGGAAGCAATTTAATAGACGGATCATTCCACAAAAGACACAAGTTTCATCAATTAACAAATTATAGAGCGATACATTCATCATGTTTTTTAATTATGCCAATTTAGCCTTTTTCTGTTTGGGACGACTAGAATGTTTCATGTCAAAACAAAAACGGCTGCCTGGATGTTGAGGTAGTAGTAATTTGTAGTATTTATACTACCGTTTACCTTCTTCCTCTTAACAGAAACATTGTCTTTTGTAACGCACAGCACAGACATGTACTTTTTTTCTTTTCCAGGTACTTCCACAAAAGATACTCACTGCACCACCGGTAAAATAAATACTGCTGATCAAGTTTCTGTTCTACTATTCTAGCATTTTCACCGTGGATGTTTTAACACTATATTATTCCTATTTTAAATCACTATAGCCTAAATGTTACATAAGTATTAACATATGTACAAATGTGCTCTGTTTGACTAACGTAACATGATTGACTATTCAACTATTAGTAATCATTCATTATTATTGACTAAAGTATTTATTCAGTATTTTGAAATGAATACATTTTGATCAACCTTGTCCACTTTGAGGGCCGCACTGGGAAAACAATTCAGATATTGAATTGGACAATCTCAATACTTTCACGACACCTCTGTTTACTTTAACATATAGTTTGATTTTATTATTGTGCAAAAAACAGCCTGACGTACATTAAAAAAGAGTTTAAATCAGTGTCTTCAGTTTGGTCAACTTAACAGTAATCAGGTCAGACTGGGATCCCGTACCGCCCGGTTGGCCACACCGCTCTCCCTATGACGGGCCAACACCCCAAATCCAGGACTTCTCCATTGACAGCGAAAATGGTTTTTCTAACCTGAAGCTGCTTGAGCCTCATTCAGAACTGTCTAAAAAGTACAAAATATCACATGGTACTCGAACATCTTAAGCTGACCGACGCGCAGACGATCGGTCAGTCTTGCCGCCACTATCGAAATACTCAGCATCATTGCAAGTCGTGCAGGTACAGTATGGTCAGCCACACCAGCTGGCGCGAAAGAGAGATAGCACCCCAGATGTGAAGCCTGGTGATGCTTTCCAGAGTTTTGCCCTACGAGTCCACCTCTTCGTGAGTATGCTGCTCTCCCTAGAGCAGGGGTCTCAAACTCAAATCAGGTGCGGCCAGGGCCAAATGCAGCCCACTTCGATCCGAACGCGGGCCAGACCATTACGGTTGACGGGGAGGGGGGGTGTGGCGCTGACGGTCCTGCCGGCAACGGTACGGTCGACGGGGGGCAGCGCTGACGGTCCGACCGGCGAACAGTACACAGTACGCCAAAGTCGGTACCCCCCCGGCGGGTCGCACCGGACGCCTCATCGGGCCGGATTTGGCCTGCGGGCCAGAGTTTGAGACCCCCTCCCTAGAGGGACCTAATGGTATGGAGCTAAACTGCTGCTCTCGTGTTGAACACTTACTCAGTAAGCTACCCAAGTACCACAGAGATGGTTTTATTGAGAATCTTCAGGTGCAGGGAAAGCTAATTAGTAGGGTTATCAACATTAACGCGTCCATCTATGCGATGAATGTGGCCGTGATTAATGGGATAAAATATTTTAACGTAGTTAACGCAACTTTGTTTACTTTGGAAGTAACCGGGGGGGCGTCCTGCCGTCAGAATGTCATACAACTCAGTCCTGTTCATGTTAATTAGGATAAAAAATATTATTAGACCTATGTAATCTGAATTGGAAGGGCACGTTGTCATGAGCTGTATCTTGTATATTTTTTATTAGCTATGTGGTATGTGTATGCACCTCTATGTAATCTGGTGGAAAATCATAGTAAAATTTAAAACCGGATCATACCAAACAAATATCAGCTTGCGTGTCCCTGTGTATGCAAAGTGTCCTCCTTTTTGACGTGAAGGAAATGGCCACCCTACTGAAGACTGAGAGAGCTTTTTGCGTTGGAAGTAAAAACAAACAGAGGTGCGACATACAGCAAAGAACTGTGTAGAGGAAATCCTCCGCGTGTCAAACAGAAGGGGGATCAGTGGCAAACAGACTACTTTGCACACCGCTAGGCTAAGATAGCTGCTAGGCTAGGTGTATAAAAATCAGGTCCTTTTGAGGTTAAAGTTAAGACCGCCTAAACAGATAACAAATCATTGCTCAGTGTTTAGAAGACCAGTGTTTAGAAACAGTTTCTTTGGTGTTTTATTTAATCAATAAGGTACGAGAGGCTTTACTTTATTGTCCAATAATGTTAACAGTTCCAGGGTGTTGTTTGGCCTGATGCGCAGCGGAATACAGCTTCAAGTGCCTTATTGCTTTGATTATACGGTTACCAGTGACATTATGAATAGTCCAATTACAACGCTGGATTTCATTTGCCCGTATTATAAGTAGTAATAATTACCGCGGGTAGACATTGTCCAACGATTTAGGGCCATTGGACTCAATAACCAACAAGCTATCGGAGGTCATGCTGAACCTGATGGTATGTAACGTTACAATGTAAATCAATCCTCTAACATTAATCCCTTGTTGTGTGCTGAGAGAGCACCATTAAACACTGGGGACATAAACACTCCCTCCTCACTAATACTTCAGGGTTTGTTCAAGTGCAATTGTTTACGCCTGTGGGACATATGTTGCATCAGCATTATTAAATTAATGTTTTTCTAAACTATAATGGGGTGTGAAATTATATGATTGTTCTGTTATGCATAGCATGTAGTAACAGTTAAATATGAATTATTAAATATGAAGTATTGGTGAAAACTAAAATATTAGCAACAATTGAGGAATACGATACTGATGAGACAAAAGTTGACATTAACCTAAACGTTTGTTTTGTTAATGATGCATATCTTACCTAACTGATTCTCACTCTTTAGATTTGGAAGGTGCAGACTGTATACTCTTAACTTTAAAGAGATCCAACAGTTCCCACAATGAGTGACAGGAGAGTTGGTGATCCACAAGGAATACGAGTCGATGGATATGCACCTTCATCACAAGGCAAGCTTCCCAAAGTGTTTTTAAGAGCTGAATTAACAACTGACTCTGCAGAACATGCTGCCAAACTGCATGACAAGCTTGAAAGGTAAGCTTGAAAGAATGAGTCGTAGAAATTGATATTGATTTGAATGTAATACTGGTTGACAAAGAAAGAACTATGCTTTACATAACTAATGATAAATAAATTATATTGCTGGACTTCTAGTGTTTACTGTTTGATATGATGTTTAAGTGTTGACTCATAACCCTCATGTTTCCTTTTCAGTGAAATTTCTGCTTCATAATGCCGGAGTTCAATCGCAGCACTGTGACTGAATTCATCCTTACTGGATTTCCTGGACTTCATCCAGAGTACCAAGGCCTTGTCTCAGCAATACTGTTCTTAGTTTATCTCTTAACTTTAACAGGCAATGTTACAATTCTTTTTTTATTTGCAACCAACCGTAGTCTCCATAAGCCAATGTATTATATAATTCTAAATCTGTGTACATGTGACATCCTTTTTAGCACAACCACCTTACCTAAGATTATTAGTAAGTATTGGTTTAATTCAGGAACCATTTCATTTACTGCTTGCTTTGTCCAGATGTACTTTGTTCACTATCTTGGAACAATGAATTCTATAATTCTCTTCCTGATGGCTTTAGATAGGTATGTGGCGATCTGCCATCCTCTAAGCTATTCCATTGTTCTTAAAAACTCCACAATCCTAATTCTCAGTATTACAGGATGGATTGTTGCTAAAGCAGCCCCTTTAATGTTAGTGATTAGAGCTTACCCTCTACCGTACTGCGCCTCAAACATCATCAACCACTGCTTCTGTGATCATATTGGCATAACTACCCTGGCATGCACTGACAGAGCCCTTTATGGATTTCCCGCTTTAGTGTTTGCAATGCTAGTTTTACTAGGATCTCTGGCATGTGTAATGTTCTCCTATTGCTCGATAATTGTAGCTGTACTTAAGATAGCAAATTTACAGGGTCGTATTAAATCTTTGTCCACCTGCAGTACTCAGCTGATTATAATCTCACTCTATTATTTACCAAGATGTTTTGTGTATTTAGCCAGCAATGTTGGCATCCAATTTAGTGCGGACATGCGAATAGTAATAATCATGCTGTATAGCCTTTTGCCCCCAATGATTAATCCACTTATTTATTGCTTGAGAGCTAAAGACATGAGAGAAAGCCTGTGGAAGCAATTCAACAGATGCATTATTCCACAAAAGGCAAACGTTTCATCTATTAGCAGCTGATTAACCATATTTAGCCTAAATTCATGGCTGTCACAATTTTAACCCTGTAATTTTGTCAGACTGCTTAAAATGAGTTTGATATTTGTCATCAAAGAAAATAAAAAGATTTAAATATTATATTTTCAGCAACCCTGACAATTGTTGAAGCCGGACCTATACTTTATCTTCTTTATCTTTATCTACTTTATCTAGCAATGCCTCACGCATATTCTTTAGTTAATGCAGTTGTTGCTAGGCAAAATTACTAAAAACAGCTGCCGGGAGTGATGAGAGAGGGAGTGTTTTTTCCCCAGAAACACACACAAGAAATATTTACTTTGAAAACTGGCCAAATAAATACTGGTTATTAAGTGTGTGTTCTACTATTCTATGAAGGTCAATGGTCATAATCAGTTTAGATTCAAGAAACCTTTGGGATATGCCAGAGTAATTTTCAGAGCAAGTGCTTGGACTGCAGATGCTTGAGGAAAATATCTCAATATCAACACAACTTTAATGTTACATTTGACACAATATTTGTATTTGGTCAGGTCTGCTTACTTTTAAAGCAATTCAATTGAAGTATATAATGTTTTATTATTTTATATTGCTAGCTATACACAAATATTTTTTGTCAGTAAATGAAGACCAATAAGGTAGATTCGTATACTCTGATTCCATTAAAAAATGTCAGTGAGTTAATGATGTTGTAAAAATATTTTTCATCAAAACCTTGAAGGAAATGAGAACAGGAAATGCAAAATCCGACAAGAACCTGAGGGCATCTGGTGGACAGTAAAGGAATTGCTTTTTGAGGATTTTGAGGAAGAAGAAGGAATGTGGCTGAAGAGTTGGAACAACAGAAATACAACACCTACATATTATTGATAATGCTGTACAGTCTTTTTCCTAGTGATGTTAATCCAATCATATATTGCTTCAACGATATTCTGATGAAGAGATGAAAAATGTCATCATAGGATTGAAGAGAAGCGCCATGTGATGCCATGTCCAAATGAGTGCATTACATGTTTTTCATAAAGAGCTGAACAGTTCTACAGTAAAAAAAATGTAAGAAAAATGTAATTTTGAGATAGCATTTAGGAACATATGTGATCTATGTATTGGTACAATAAAAAAAAACTGAAAAGACCACATTGCCTTAGTTTTCTTCTTTCATCTTATATCACATCTTCAACCGCTTATCCGGGTCGCGGGGCCAACAGCTGCCGCACCTCCCTTTGCCGAGCCCCATCTACCAACTCTAAGTGGGGGATGCCAAGGAGTTCCAAGTCTTAATCATTTAATTATTATAAATTATTATTTTATAATTAACATATTTCAAATCCAACTAAAAGTAAAGTATAAATATACATATTTATATAAAACATTGTAATTTATTTATCGATTTTTCTTTTCTTTCTTATTTTCTATTTCTTAATACTAAGTTTAGTCAAATCTACGCGTTTAAAGTGTCCTAATTAGATGCTTTGTGTTCCTCAGTTGAACATGTTGAAAATGCAAAACAATTAACTAACACACAAACATGATGCTCCTTTGGGGATACGTCATATGTTGTTAAATGGCTGATATTGCCTGGCGTACAGTCATCGTTTGTGTGACTGCTATCTCCAGAATAGAGCCGCGTTCAGACAGGAGAACATCATTTGATTACGCTTATTGCAATAAGTGGTTTTTAGATATAGAGGACCATTTTTGAAAAGTTTGGTCTTGGATATCTCTTTTTATAAAAATGGTACATTGATAGTGGATGCATTGAATATTGTCTAATCAGTTGACTTATATTTAGTGTATTTATGTCTTATTTCTGGTTTCTTATTATAAAGTTAAAATGATGAACTCCAATTTAACAGTGATGAAAAGCTTCTTCATCCTTGGATTCCCTGGACTTTCTCCAACGTATTACAGACCTGTGTCAGCTCTGCTCTTTTTTTTCTATCTAGCTATTGCAATAGGAAATATTTTCATTTTCACATTTGTTGTGTGTGAAAAGTCGCTGCAAAAACCAACATATCTGCTCTTTTGTCATCTAGCATTGAATGATTTAACATTTGGCACTCTGACTCTTCCGAAGATTATCTCAAAATACTGGTTTGGTGATGGATTTATTTCATTTTACGGGTGCTTTACACAGATGTTCTTTGTTCATTATTCAGGATCTGTAACTTCTTTCATGTTGTTGGCGATGGCTCTTGATCGCTTCATCGCGATATGTATTCCACTGCGTTATCCTGTCCTAGTCACAAACAACACCATATCGGTGATCTGTGGCTTTGCTTGGTTCATCCCTCTGCCGTTGATGTTGACCATTGTACTGCACACCCTCACTTTACCTTTCTGTAAATCAAATGTCATTGCTCAGTGCTACTGTGACCACATTTCTATAACAAGCCAAGCATGTGGTGAGAATGTTCAAACCGTACTGGTCACTGCTCTCTGCGTTGCTATGTTTTGTCTTTTGCTTCCGCTTGCATTCATCTTGTTTTCTTACATCCTTATCTTTGCGGATATTTTGAAAATGTCCAACGCTACCGGACGCATGAGAACCATATCAACTTGTACCCCGCAAATATTAATCACATGCCTCTTTTATCTTCCCAGGTGTTTTGTTTATGTCTCTAATACAGTCGGATATTCTTTCAGTTTGGATGTGCGTATTTTAGTAGTATTGTTGTACAGTCTTCTCCCTGCTGCTGTTAATCCCATAATATACTGTTTCAAAACTCAATATATCAAACAGCATTTGATAAAGAAGATTAAGACAACTAGGATTGGAATACAGTTAAATCTTTTCTTCTTATAACAGACTAATACCTTGGTCATCCAGTCTAAAAGTTTGGCTTAATTAAAGAAATGGGACAGTTGAAACATGATTACTTTAAATAATTTAAGCTTGATATGATGTGTAAATCATATAATTGTTTGAATGGATGTTTCTTCAATGTAAAGCCTGCAATTACGATGATAATGATATCTAAATGGAACTCACCGGGAATACAGGAATAGACGTAAATTCTTTAGAAAAACTGTACACAGACATGCGATGTAATGAGTAAATCTAAATAAAGAGTACATGGTACATTTCCTGCCTTTTACTTTTACTTAGACGTAGGTGTATTTTGTCCAAAGCCTGAAAGCATAGACTAGATGGACTGGTTTGTAAAAACAAAGCAGTACAGGCCTTAAGGCAACGGCTTCAACAGTTGACAACTCTTTTTTAAGAGTTCTTCGAAGTTCGAAGTCTGGAAGTCAGTATAGATATACAGGTTGTATATAGCGCTTGTTTGTTGCTCATTCAATTTTTCCTGCTGGAAGCTTTTTTTTAATTGATTTTAAGACAGTGACTGAATATACTGAAGAACAAACAAAGTTACACTATTCCCACATCAGCATGTTTATGCCTTTTCAAACGTGTTAATCTCAATCATTTGTAAATTATGTCATTATGTAATAATGTCAGCGGTTTATTTAGAATGATAAATTGTATTTTTTCATGTGGTAAAACTGTTTTGTTTACTTACAATGGATCATCAATCATATTTCTTAACCTTTACAAAGGAGAACGTCTTATGATTAATTTGTGGTCTATTATTTTCTCCTTTTTTCACAAGGAATAGGGATAGATAGGTTAAAAGGGAGATTTCCGAGGCATAATAGTTTATCTACATTAGTGTGATATCTACATTAAACGTGGTTGTCTCGACATGTCTTTAAAATATATAAAGCATCATCACCAGATACATCTTCTAACTATTCTAAAGATGTAAAGATAACCATGAAAACATGAAAAGATAAAGAGTTTTGGGTTATATAAAAGATCTTTCACTGCGGAAGAAACTAAAACATATGATTTAGATGTCGTTGATAAACAATTTGTATGTGTAACCGGGGCGGCCGTTCGCCTGGTCACAAGGGTGACAACGTCACTTTGGGGCTCTCACCCAAAGTATATCAGTTGTAATGAAAAAGAAAGGGGAGCAGAGAGGTGAAGTTCCAGTTTTGTAACAATGTTTTTTTTATTTACAAGTAGGTTTAATATTTAAAAGAAAAGGAATAATCAATCCAGAAACATTGGTCGGTTTTATGGCAAAATATAATCTATGCTTTAAAAAAAGATTACTATACTGGGGTACCCTACCAGTATAAGGTGACTACTTGAGGCCCACCGGGGCGGGGGAGTGAAAGGGGACAAGGGGGCCACCACCAGGTCAAAGGGAAGAAAACACAGCAAATCAAAAGGAATTAAAACACAGCAAACAAACAAAATAAACCGAAAGGGCCTTCCACCTCGTGAGCCACCCCCTGTAGGCCTACTATATGCCCACCTGCACTGGCATTAAAGGGACCCCCAGTATAGGGCGCAGTAATGGTTGTTCATGTAGGACAAAACAAAGACACTAACCCAGAAAGAAAACAAATTCGCAATTCATAATCAAAGATACTATATAAACCGGGTAACCATAATCTATTTTAAATCAAAAGGCAAAAACAGCAGTGACCAGGCTCAGTGTTGCACCACCTGATCATTTCCTGTATAAAAGAAAGAAAAAGGTAAATAACGCCAATAAACATTTCACTGCTAAAAAGCATATTAAAACATGAAACAGAAAACCCCTGACATACCTCTAGATTCCGCTCAAACCCATCCGCACGTGGCGAGTGCTGTGCCTATGCCGTGGGAGACCTACAGCAAGCCCCCCTCTAGCTCTAGTGGGGCAAAAGCTCCCATTTAAAGAGCACCTGGTCACACCTGTTAGGCATCACCAATTAAGGTGGTGTAGCCAAACAGGCAGGGGGGGGGAGGGGAGAGCTCTACCCATCACAATCTACCCCCCATTTTCTGTCGGCGACCCGCCGATAATAAAAAACAAGCAACAAGCAAACAGAAATATAAAACACGGTTTTAAGGAAAACTACTTCCACAGCCTAGGAGTGGCAGAGAGCATATTACCCGACCCAGTTACCCGAGAAGTTGCAGCCTCTCTCCCGCTTCTCCATGCTGGCACAGGGAGATTATGGGGGTTTGGGTGTCTCCCTGCTGTCTCACGCTGGCTTCGACGAAGAGGCACTGTACTGGATCCTTCCATAGGGTCATCATTATCCACATCCACTGGGGATATGGTGCCAGCAATAGATTCGGCTGGTGCAGGTGGTTGAGGGCAGGAAACCAAGGGCTCTAGCGTAGCTGTCACTGGTTGGGGGACAATCCACCATTCACCATTCGGTTCGCAATCTCCTTCATTGGTAGGTGATCTCCCTTGCTCCCCAGAGTCTGGCTCACTTATAGGGGTGGTTAGTGGGATTGGTCGCAGGAGAGTTCTATGGACATGCTTGATTTTTCCTGCGTCATCCAGGGGTGCGATAGAATACACTGCTCCACCATCAGAAGGGGTCTTGACAACTTTGTACCTCCGGGGACCCCAAATGTCCTGGATCTTCACTCTGCCTCGAGCACTGTTGTCTTTCAAGTAGACCATTTCACCCTCTGTCAGGTTGCCACCAGCCACATGCTGGTCATGTCGTTCCTTCCTGAGGCGAGCTGCTGCTTGGATCCTTTCCTTGGCCCCATCAAAGGCAGTCTGGAGGCGCATTTGGTGTTCTTGCAACCAATCACCGATAGTACCTCCAATTGGTTCCTGAATCTTGCCAAGGAGAAAATCAACAGGAAGTTGGGGTTCTTGGCCAAACATTAGAAGGTATGGTGACTCACCAGTGGTTTGATGGGTGGTTGTGTTGTAGGAGAAGGTAACATGTGGGAGGTAGCTGGGCCAATCTGGCTTCTTGACAGGTGGAAGGGCCTGTAATAGGCCATGTAAGGTCCTATTAAACCTCTCACATTGGCCATTCCCCTGGGGGTGGTATGGCGTGGTGCGTGTTTTTTTTATGCCATAGAAACTGCACAGCTGCTGGATTAACAAGCTCTCAAAGTTCCGGCCTTGATCCGAATGTATTCGGGCTGGCACCCCAAACCTATAAAACCATTCCCGGACCAGTACCCCTGCCACAGTGGAGGCCCTTTGATCACGGGTCGGGACAGCTTGAGTGAATTTGGAGAAGACATCGGTCATAATGAGAACTTGTTCTCTTCCATCGCGAGCACGTTCCAGCAGAGAAAAGTCAATGGCTAAAATTTGATTCGGTCGGGAAGCTACCAGATGGCCCATGGGTGTTCTCACAGCAGGGTATACGGGTTTGGCCAGGGTGCATCGTTCACATTTTTGACACCAGTCCTTGACATCCTTATACAGACCTGGCCAGTAGCACCGCTGCCTTACCAGATTAGTAGTTCTCTCCACTCCTTGATGTCCATGACCCTGATGCAGTTGTTGAAGCACCTCCTCCCGCAGGGAGGCTGGCAGCAGCAGCTGATGAATTTCTTCTCCACCATCCGGACGGTGAATGCGACGATATAGGAGCCCATCTCTCTCCACCATCCTATTCCACTGTCGCACCAGTTCCTTTACTGGTTTCGAAAGAGCCTGGCGTTCCTTCTTGTCTGGGGGGTGTTTGCAGCGCCAAAACTGAAGGAAGCTTCTCAACACTGGATCTGCATGCTGGAGGGTGGCAAGGTAATCTGGGGTGTGAGACGGAAGGGCAAACACTGACATCTGGGTTACCTGTACTGAAGGGTCAACCTTGTTCATCAGGAATTCTGGGAGGGCGGTTCCTGGAAGGAATGTCCCCAGATCTGGCGGTGTATTGCCATGGTGAGCCTGCCTGGAAAGGGAGTCAGCATTAACATTAGAGCGACCCGAGCGATACCTAATGGAGAAGTCAAAAGCTGCTAGTTGAGCCGCCCACCGCTGTTCTGTTGCCCCCAGCTTTGCAGTGCTCAAATGGCTAAGTGGGTTGTTATCAGTCCATACAACACATTTTTGACCCAACAAATAGTCCCGAAATTTTTCAGCCATTGCCCATTTTAGGCCCAAAAACTCAAGCCTCATGGAGCTGTAATTGGGCATGTTTCGCTCTGCTGGCGTCAGGGTTCTGCTGGCATATGCTACCGGCCTCACTTTTCCATCCTGCTCCTGAGAAAGCACTGCCCCTAATCCACTGAGGCTAGCGTCCACCTCTAGAATGAAAGGCAGAGAAAAATCAGCATACGCCAACACAGGGGCACTAATTAATCTGGATTTAAGGTCCTGGAAGCTCTTCTCACATTGTTCAGTCCAAAGCTCCCCAATTATCTTCCGAGATGCTTTTTTTGTGCGAGCGTCTATCATGTTGGCTACAAGGCGATGTAGGGGGGCTGCGATTTTTGCAAAACCCTCCACAAAACGTCGATAGTAGCTACAAAAACCTAAAAATGACCTTAACTCCGTTGCATTTGTTGGTCTCGGCCAATTTGCCACAGCTGATAATTTTCCTGGGTCTGTGGCCACGCCATCTTCGGTAATCACATGACCAAGATAGTTTACCTCCGTGCGAAAGAAGCAGCATTTCTCGAACTTTACTTTCAGTTTCTCCTGTTGCAAGCGAGACAGCACGGCATCGAGGCGCTTTAAGTGCTCATCTACTGTGGAAGAGAAGACAATCACGTCATCCAGGTATAGTAACAGTGTCTGAAAATGCTGTGCACCAAAGATCCGTTCCATTAACCTTTGAAATGTACCAGGCGCATTACAGAGGCCGAAGGGCATGCGGTTAAACTCAAACAAGCCGAAAGGTGTACAAAAGGCTGTTTTTGCCCTATCTTTCTTTGCGACCGGTACCTGGTTATAGCCGCTTGCCAAATCCATAGTTGAGAACCAACGTGCTCCTGCCAGGGCATCAAGGGACTCCTCTATCCGAGGTAAAGGAAAGGCATCCCTGCGTGTCTTGCTGTTGAGTTGACGATAATCCACACACATCCGTAGGCTTCCATCCTTCTTTTTGACGAGGACTATTGGGGACGCGTATGGACTGCAACTTTCTCGGATTATCTGGGTCTCTAAGAGCTGGTTGATATGATTTTTAACAGAATCGTAATCTGAGGGGGGGATTCTCCTAAACCTCTGTCGCACAGGCACATCATCTAGCAATGGGATTTCATGCTCTATAAGGTTAGTACATCCCAGATCCCCTTCAAATGCCGAAAAAACAGCATGATGTTTCTCAAACATGGACCGTATCCCAGCCTGCTCTGTCTCTGGAACATTGCTAAGATCAAGAGAAGCTAGTGTATCAGAGATGTTTTTCACCTGCCCCGTCTGAGAACTCATGGTCGCCAGGGTACCCATTCCTGCTGGCTTCCTGGGAACCTCGTTGATGCCTGTAGGTAAACTCACTATCTGGGCCTGGTTTAGCATCCCTAGGGCACAGCGGGGGTAAAGTTTAACATCAGTGTCACCAACATTCACAACTGGGATGTAAGCAGTACCATGATGCACTGTGACCATCGCAAGAGATACTAACAAACCACCAGGAAGAGCTTCTTGGTTGGCAAAAGGTTCAAACAAAGCCTGGGAAGGTGGAAGACACCTCTGCGGACAGGTCGCGGCCACCAATTTAACTGTCCCCCCGGGTATGTAGACTGGATGTTTCCCCCTCACCCTAGCAACTCCACTGGCACCTGTTGCAGGTCTGGCCCGGCTCTCGTGACACTTTTGGAAAGCTTTCTTCCATGCCTCAGGGGCCTCTTTTACAAGTGAGACATCAAAAAGGGGTGAGGCATGTTGCCCGAACAACTCTGCATAACATTCACGTAATACATTCATGCCTAAGACACCAGGAACGTCAGATTCGGGCAAAGAACCAGGAGGATCCTTAACCACTAGAATCCCCCTTTTGGGAATAACTGTACCCATTACAGAAACATCGAGCTCTACATACCCCACATATGGAATGCTGAGTCCATTAGCTGCTGTAAGTTGTAGCCACTGGCATGCCTGGGGAGAGTTGTCAAAATGCTGGTGGAAAAAGGACTCCTTAATTGTGGAGACCATTGACCCCGTATCCAGTAGACAGTCTACCTCAACCCCACCAATGACCACTGCAACATGTGGACAAGGACTAACAAGTTGAGGGAGACACTGTTCATCCACTGGATAACATGAACCTGTAATGGCCCCTTCTGAATCGTGGTTCTGCAAAACAGAGGGCATTAGTTTTCCGACTGCTGATTTTGAGCAGTTGCCCTTTGCATAGGATGCGCCTGGGGGCGCTGTTGCTGAAAAGGGACCCTTGCATTATCGCAATTACGAGCAAAATGCCCTGGCTGCTGGCAGCGTCTACAGAGAACAGGGCCTGTATTCGAAGGCCGAGACCATTTGGAGGGGTTCTGTAATTGCAAGAGGTGGGTGAAAAGCTGGTTAATTTGTTCTTGTTGTGCTTTAAGCATCTCTTTTATCTCCGCCATTTCACTTTGAGATGAGGTACTCGTCTGCTCAGACACCCTTGAAAGGTGGGTAGCACAGATGGAGGGGACGGAAAAACTGCGGGGCCTACTTTCCAGCTGTCTACCTTCCCTCTCCCATCTGACTGCCTCCCCTCGCACATCCAAGAGGGTAACTAATGGCTTAGCACGTACAACCTGTTTTAAAGCTCTGCGGAGATCTGAATCATTAACATGTTCCACAAACTGATCTCTCAATAGAATGGCAGAGTTAGGTATAGCCTGAGGAGCATTCCTCATGATTTTTTCCATAAGCTCAAATAAAGCATGAGAGTAGTCCTGCAACGACTCACCCTCTAGCTGTTTTCTGGAGAAGAAATCCTTCTGTAAAGCAACATAAGACAGTGAACATCCATACACTTCCTGCAGTATAGTCAAAACCTTCTCTGGATCCTCACGATCTTGCTGGGGCCTATACTTGATCTCATCTTTGGCAGACCCCTCCAAATGATCGTAAATGAAATAGGCCTGATCTATGCGAGCTAAATGCCTGGCCCGCATGCTAGCACGGACCTCTTCGACCCATTCTACCACTCCTATACCCACATTCCCCCTAAACATGGGGCACTTCCTTTCTCTGGGGATGTAGAGTAGGCGTTCAGGCGCTGCCCCTGGGAGACCAGCAGATCCAGAGGGGCCAGGGAGTTCAGAAGAGCCAGGAGTCAAGCTTGCTAGACGTGCTTGCGTTGCTGAAAGTTCTTGTGAAAGTTGTTCATTTTGAGCCCGGAGTTGAATCACCAAGTCCCGTAAGTCCAGCTGGCCTTCCTCCATTTCTATAGACTTGGGTGGTTTTGGCACCTGGGAGCCAACAGGGATACAGGTTCCTCTTCCTCTTTAAGAAGAACCTTTGGCCAACTGCTGTTTTTGCCCAAAAAGAAATAAATAGTAAGCGATCCGAAAAATATACACATGGGGGGGTCCTACATAAAGCAACTGTCAGAAAAGTGAACTAGAAGGACACGTCTCTGCTCTAAAAAAAATAAAATTAAAATAAAAAATAAAAAGAGTCCTGCCAGCAACGCCAATTTGTAACCGGGGCGGCCGTTCGCCTGGTCACAAGGGTGACAACGTCACTTTGGGGCTCTCACCCAAAGTATATCAGTTGTAATGAAAAAGAAAGGGGAGCAGAGAGGTGAAGTTCCAGTTTTGTAACAATGTTTTTTTTATTTACAAGTAGGTTTAATATTTAAAAGAAAAGGAATAATCAATCCAGAAACATTGGTCGGTTTTATGGCAAGATATAATCTATGCTTTAAAAAAAGATTACTATACTGGGGTACCCTACCAGTATAAGGTGACTACTTGAGGCCCACCGGGGCGGGGGAGTGAAAGGGGACAAGGGGGCCACCACCAGGTCAAAGGGAAGAAAACACAGCAAATCAAAAGGAATTAAAACACAGCAAACAAACAAAAGAAACCGAAAGGGCCTTCCACCTCGTGAGCCACCCCCTGTAGGCCTACTATATGCCCACCTGCACTGGCATTAAAGGGACCCCCAGTATAGGGCGCAGTAATGGTTGTTCATGTAGGACAAAACAAAGACACTAACCCAGAAAGAAAACAAATTCGCAATTCATAATCAAAGATACTATATAAACCGGGTAACCATAATCTATTTTAAATCAAAGGCAAAAACAGCAGTGACCAGGCTCAGTGTTGCACCACCTGATCATTTCCTGTATAAAAGAAAGAAAAGGTAAATAACGCCAATAAACATTTCACTGCTAAAAAGCATATTAAAACATGAAACAGAAAACCCCTGACATACCTCTAGATTCCGCTCAAACCCATCCGCACGTGGCGAGTGCTGTGCCTATGCCGTGGGAGACCTACAGCAAGCCCCCCTCTAGCTCTAGTGGGGCAAAAGCTCCCATTTAAAGAGCACCTGGTCACACCTGTTAGGCATCACCAATTAAGGTGGTGTGGCCAAACAGGCAGGGGGGGGGAGGGGAGAGCTCTACCCATCACATATGAGTTGTGATACACCAAAATCGTTCCAATAAAATATATAATATCCAAATATCAACAATATTTTAACAGAGCAATTTCACGACACCAAACGGCCATCAAATAATTTCCTCTATGTCACTGTCATTGCTGTGAAAAGCGCCGGTGGGTAGACGCGCTATGTCCTCAAATACAAGAGCATAGCTGCTGTAAGGTAGATGCATATTTAAAATGATTCCCCATCGCTCAAACATATTGGAGCGAGCACTCTCCTCTTCGTGCTGATCTGCAGCAGAATGACAATTGTGTCTGAAGCTGCACGCTGACAGGGATGACTGGCCGTGTGTAGATAGAGAAAACTGTCCACACTCCGACGCGGAGCAGGAGAATGTGCTGTCGGGTTCACATTCCGACAAAGCACCGATCACGCTGCTGCACATGGCAGCTTCAGGCGTCAAGGGTGCTTGAGGGGGCGTCTTCTCCCAAGTAGTGTTCAGTTTACAAATTTCTTCAAAAGTCAGGCATCGTGCAGGTTCAAAGTACTCAGAACGAGGGAACTTCTCTCTACCCCCAGACGGTGACTGTTGCAAGCACTCTTCGCTGTCTTTAGTCGACAACTGCGCGTTTAGGAAAGCTACGTCTTGAGGTTCCGTGGAACGTATTGGCCTCCCTCCGCTGGAGCATTCTTTCTTATATCCTGCCAACAGCATCCTCACATCTCCCCACCGTTTAGGATCAGCTTTCTCACACTTGGTGTCACTACAGCTGATCTCATAGTACTCCAGCTCACTGTTTGGCCCCGGCTGAACACTTGGTAGACCGGCGTCACCGTAAAACTCCACGCATGACCTCTGCTGATCGGCACCCGCTGGGTCGCGTTGTTTCTCTTTTGTCGCACACGCCGCATCGGCGAGCGTTCTGCTGTCCTCAAAGCGGAACGCTGCGTTGTCTGTCCCTTTCTGGGGTTTCTCTGTGGCGCTATCACTCTGACGCTCTGCATCCTTACACCTCCTTCTGTAAAGGGCAACACACGACCCCGTGATCGCCAAGACTAAGACGAGAGGAAGAATCAGAGCTATGAGCCACAGAGGCAGACCGCCCGGTTTTTCGGAGCATCGATTGCGGCTCTCCGTTGCAGGGCCACAGACATCGCAGGCCTGGTAAGAAACGTTATGGAAACAGATGCAGGACCTGCTCTGCTCAGCAGGTCTGCATGCAGTCCAGTGGTTTTGACAGTCTGGCGAGAGACAACGCCTCGTGGCTGTGTCGTCCCCAGAACACGGAGAGGGGAGGCAGACGGCCGGAGAGCTGCAACTCGACTGGACAAGAGTGGAGCTCGGCGAGACGTCCACCATCACACTGCGTCCGCTGACGGGCAGAGTGTATCCGCTCACATTGAAGTACTGCACACAGCCAGTGAAACCTGATAAGAATGAATAGTTATTCATTGTTACTCCAAAATACATTAACAAACAAGCTTACTCCCACATCAACATGTTTAGGTCTTTGTCAATACAAATCATTTGTAAATTATAATGTTTGGTGTTTATTTACCTAACTGTTGGAGGTTTGAATAACCTGTCGGACCCGCACCAAAAATAATCTTTTGCAAACCAACAGGAGTGAGATCCATACTGCTGTCGCTGATATTCAAAACGGATTTACCATCCAGGAGCAGAAATGTGTGCTGTCCATTGCCGAATAAGGAGAGGACATGCCAAATACCATTGGCCACGGGGGGGTCCACAGTGAGTTCTATCGGGTGTCCAGCCAGTGTGTCGTTGGAAATGTACACAAGCTTTCTGTCTTTTATCTCGGGGGGGGGGCAAGAAAAAAAAACAAGCAATTTTTCTCATCAAACAAAAATCACAGAAGAATGAATATCTCTTTAATTGTGTTCTATACCTACTTCCAGAATAGTGTATCCTGTCTCTCCAACAACAAATATTAAAACTCCATTGAATTGGGTCTTGAACTTGATCTTGATCCCACTTTGGTCTCTGGTGTTTTCCTCTTTTTCATCATTCAGAAAGTCTTTTAGCAGGTAATCTCTCTTGAATCGCTCCTTGATAACATACTCAATGTAGTCGTTCCCATCAAATCGCAAAACAAGCTCCTCCGACACTTCTATTTAATAAGACAGGACACAAAATGTGTATTGTGGAATGTAAACATATACTCAACAAAAAGGTGTCCTGTTAATTTAAAGATATGTTCACCTTCAGCACAGTTGTTCCCAGTAAAAGGGCTTTTGCACTCGCAAACATAGTCAGACCAAAGGTCATGGCACAAGCCGCTGTTCTTACATGGGTTGCTATGACATGGTGACGACGATGTCCGAGGACACCTTTGTTGAACGAAAAAGACATACAATAAAGATCACGTAGAAAGAGGACAGTATAGGGCTTGAGAAATAAGTGGTTTGATACAACTGAGGATAGTTGGTAGTTTAAATCAAAAAGTGTATTACCATAGTAAAAGTGTAATTGTAGTATAGTAGGTGCTTACCTATCAAGGATGTTATATGAGGCCAGGGCCATTAAAGGTCTCAGAAGGATGCCATTCACATAAAGGTTACGGATACATCCAACAAAGTCATGGGTTTTTATCTGAGCGGGAAGCTTTAAAATGGATTCAAAAGTCCTTATTCCTCCGAATGTCACATTACGTCCAACATCTAGAGTCCTGAATGTAGATGAAGACAGAGAGAGGTTATAATAAAGATTTTTAAAAAGGCCAGAACATGAAATTATGAAATATCAGTCAGTAGAGATTTTTTTTCCGCTGCTACCTCTTTAAACTACTGCCATCACTCCGTGAAAAACAAAATCCACTGTTCTTGATATGTGTGCAGTTGTCAACATTCAAGGACCCCATCTGTTAGAGGCAAGTAGTGCACATCACAATTTTCAGATTGACCTCTTTGAAATGCCATTTACGTTATCTATGTTGCCAACATATCTAAAAACTCACATTTCCAATTCTCCGAGCAGTGACACTGTGAAAATATCCATCAGCCACTTGCTTGTGTGTCTGCAGCCTCACTGGTCCGGGTCCCAGGTCAAAAGAGAGATGTATGGCCCCATTCAGTATCTCTAGTGCAATGAACTCCTTGCTGGATGGTCCTCCAGGATTGTAAAGGAGCAGGGAGTTTCTCTGCACTGTCGCAAACTCTAGAGAGATCAAATTAGTCCTGCGATCCAACGGGGGAAACTCCATGAAGGATAGCTCCTGAAAGCCATAACTGTGCTCCTCACAGTGGACTCCACTGACTCCTGGAAAAAAGATGGAACAATTTGTTTGTAAATTGTTCTCAGTTGTCACTTGGAAATGGGTATTTTTTTATCACAAATAAAGGTACAGTTCAACATTTGCAAATTACACTAATGAACTGTTTTGTTTGAAAGTTAGATGATGAGATTGGTAGCACTTTTGTCTATCGATTAGACATGCATAAGCTACAATTAGCAGCCGGTTAGCTTAGCACAAAGACTGAACATTGGGGGAATCAGTTTGCCTGGCTGTGTTCAAAGGAAAACAAAATCCCGCAGAACTTTAGGTCACTTAGTAAAACGTACATTTTTTCGTTTTACAGGGAGTTATGTTCTGTATGGCTCCTTGAAGGAGCAGATACAAGAGAGCTGTTTTATTTGAGACAGATCTTGTGTGTGGTTTTTCAAGAATTTGTCATAGCATAAATAATGAGAAAAGAGGCATTGGAAAGGTGGGGTTAGCAGGGTTAGCAGGGTTAGCAGTTTCACCCAGTTTCCCGTGCGTGTGCTCAGATAAGCTAAGCTAACCAGCTGCTGAATGAGGCCTTGTGTTTAACTGACAGGTAATTGGTATAGAACTTCTCATCTAACTTTCCACAAATAAACCTTTGCTTCAAAGAGCTTTCTTTATGCATTATATTTACCAAAGGGACAACGGCAGGAGAATCCTGTCTGTGAATTGATGCAGCTGCCCTGAACACAAGGGGCTGATCTACAGTGGTTTATGAAGAGCTCACACATTTCTCCTGGAAAACACAAAGAAAGGCCAGACTTTGAAGAGATTCTGGATTCTACTCTAATATACAATAATATAATCACTCTTTTAAAATAGCAAAGTCTACCCTCAAATGCGAGTAAGCAGTGACAGTGATATCCATCCTCGGTTGAAGTGCAGGTTCCCCCGTTTTGGCACTTCAGCTTCAGGCATTCATCTCCATCAGTAGAGCAGAAAGAGCCAGAGAAACCACTTTGACAGTGACAGTAAAAACTTCCTGCAGTATTTACACACATGCCTCTATTCTCACAGGGATTCACCTCACATTCGTTGATGTCATCTTCACACAGAGTCCCGGTGAAGCCGACAAGACAGGAGCAATTAAAAATCTCTTTCTGCGGTGACACAAATATGACCGCCGAGCTTTCCAAAGCAGCAACATCCTGGCTGATGTAAATGTTTTTGTTGCATGCTGCCCCATTTGTACAGGGGCCAATGAGACATGGATCACTTGTGATGTGAGATATTGTCACGTTGCTATGGCTTTCAAGTAATTTCTTATGGCCTATAGAGATGCCAATGGCTACCTCTCCGCTAAGATATTGACCATCGTAATTTTTCACGGCAGCCAATAAAATAATGTCACTGCCAAAATGTTTAATTCCAAAGACGTGCGTCTTAGAGGCCTGTAGGTTAAACAGACTGTCCAGAGCTTTGACAAACCGCAGATAGTTGTTGGACATAAATTCTTCCATTGAGGATGATGACACATAGAATAATATGCAGCGGTCTATTGAGGCATTTGTGAAACCTTTGTAGTTCACATAGATGCTGTTGTTGACTGGAAGGTGAAGCTGGTCTGTAGCCTCGACTGTGATATTAAATGTAGCCTCGCCTTGAAGAGGAGAAGACCACAGTTCACATGTACCATTAGGTATTGTAAACATATTTAGTTGTCCGCTTTTGATGGCGCAGTTGAATGTATCAGACTCATCCTTATCGTCAGGATGGACGTGACCGATCATCCCTCCTTCGAAAGAACTGCCAAAATATTTGACCTCAATCACAATATTTCTAGGCTGGGAAGGGCTATCGTTTTCATCCACAATCTTGATGTGGATCATCGTTGTTGATGATAGCGGCGGGATCCCTGCATCCGTGACAGCCACAAGGATGTGATAGATATTGATTTGTTCCCGATCAATGGTCCGTGTGGTGAATAAAACTCCATCAGGAGTCAGTGAAAAAGCATTTGCGTTTGAAGAATTTACCAACCAATAAGTGAAAGGTCCCCCGTTTGGCGGGACATCTGCATCAGATGCATTTAATCTGGCGACCACTGTACCTTCAGGCTGATTTTCCTTCACTTGAGCTTTGGTTAATGTGAGTTTTGGAGCATTGTCATTGACATCGTCAATAGTCACAATGACGTTAGTAGTCCCAGTGGCTGGTGGAGAGCCATTATCAGTGGCTGCAACAGTCAGATTATAAACTGACCTGAGTTCTCGGTCAAGTGGAGAGTTTATTAAAATAACACCACTGGATGGCTCAATGGAAAAAGAGAGATTTATGTTTCCATTTTCAATGCTGAAGAAGAAAATATTCCAGTCCAAGATGGAGTCCTCGTCCAGAGCATTCACCGTTATCACGGGTGTCCCAACTGGGCTGTTTTCTGCAACATTGGCCAAATAAAGTGCAGAGGTGAAAACAGGTGAATCATTTGCGTCGATCACACTAATGTGAACTAAAGCTTCGTCGACGTCCATGCCAGTAATAACACCAGAGTTCTTTGCCAGAATCTTTAAAACTACCTGACTGTTGCCACGTTTTCTCAAATTGCCAGTTGTGTATATTTCTCCAGAAAATGTGTTGATTTCAAAGCCCACGTATTTGCTTGGACCAAACATCAGGTAAGACAACTGACCTTCAGATCCACGGTCAAAATCCGTAGCTATTACTCTTCCGACCCGAGTTCCAACAGGCACATTTTTATACACAGAAAAGTTGTATTCTTTTTGGCTGAATGTGGGTGTGAACTCATTCACGTCCGAGATTTGGATGACAATGTGAGCCAAACTAAATAAAGCATGACCGTCAATGTTTGAAGCCTTGATTGTTATATCAAAGATCTGCTCATGCTCAAAATCAAAGACATACAAAGTGGTGATCGTGCCATTTCTTGAATCGATTGCAAATTTATCCACATGGCCAGCAATAAGGGAGTAGGATATTTCCGCATTTGAATCAGCATCCGCCGCCTTCACAACTAGGACAACTGTTCCAATTACTGAGTTTTCAGGCACTGACGTTGTGTACTGTGAGGATGAGAAAAGCGGAGGATTGTCATTCACATCGACAACCACCACTGTAATATTCAACATGCCAGTTTGAGAGATCCACCCTCCATCCAGGGCTTTGATTTGGATATGATGAATAACTTCTTTTTCAAAATCAAGCTCTCTGATCAACGTTAGCAGCCCAGACGCTTCTCCCACAGAGAATGGCAAATAGGGATTTTCTGGTGTAATGCAGTACTCAATGGCCCCATTGGGACCGTAATCTCCATCTCCTGCATGAACTGTCCCAATTACTGATCCTACCGTCAAGTCCTCAGGCACAGAGCAAATAACATCAGCCTCTCTAAAGATTGGAGGAAAATGATTCCTGCCAGTAATGTGAAAAGTGATGTCAGTCTGTGATGACAAAGACGGGGTGCCCTGATCTTTTGCAATAACTGATACTGTGAAAGACAAATTTACGCTGCCTATCAAGCTCTGATTTAACATCACCTTTCCATTCTCGACTTGAATACAGAAGAAATCAGATGCATTACCTCCATTGAAAACATATTTGATGCCAACACTGGTGTTGTTAACATCCTGATCTATCGCTGTCAACTGTACCACCTCAGTACCGACATCCATGTGATACGGGATAGCAATCAGAGGCCGGAAAGGTAGAAACATTGGTGCGTAGTGGTTAAACGGTTCTAATCTCACAGTGACAGTGGTGTTGCTGTACAGAGGAACGCTGCCACAATCAAATGCAATAACCGGAAACTGGTAGATTTGAAAAGCAGAATTGTGTAATGTCAGTGGCTGCTTTGTATAGATCTCACCAGAGGACGCGTTCACCCAAAACTGCTCATTCTGAGGTTCAATAACATACAAAACGTCACTGTTTTTCCCCATGTCTGCATCCAAAGCAAGAACCTGCATGACAAACGACCCTTCAACTCGTGTTTCAGGGAGGTAAATGCTGTAAGATTGATCATAAAATACTGGTCGGTTATCATTGACATCTGTGATGACTACAGTTACGTCGGTGCTAATGCTCCACGCTGAGTCATTCGCGTTGACATTCAAGATGTAACGATCCTGCATCTCCCTGTCCAGATATTTTTCAACAGTTATGTCACCAGTGGTGAAGTCTATTTTAAATGGCAGATCATCTCTTTGACCAATTAAAGAGTAATTTATTTCTGCATTGGCACCAGAATCGTCATCAGTTGAGGTGAGTCGCATGATGGTGTGTCCAACAGGGGAGTCTTCAGGCACCTCTGTGAGAAAGATCTGTGAAAAACGAGGTGAGTTGTCATTTCGGTCTAAAACAATAACAATAATTGTTGATGTGTCTCTATGAAGAGGGTTGTTGAGCTCTGCAGCTTCCACTGTTAAATTGAATTCGGGGGTATTTTCTCTGTCTAAATTTCCAGTGCTGCTCAGTAAACCATCTTCCGGGTCAATTGTGAATAAACCATCAGTGTTTCCTTCTGTGATATTGTACCGCACTGTGCCGTAGCTGCTTGAGTCAGCGTCAGTGGCGAGAACGTCGCAAACCCAGGACGGCGGGGAGTTCTCAAAAACCTCACACCTGTACTCGGCTTGGGTGAACTGAGGGAAGTTATCATTTACGTCAATGATGCTTATGTGAATTTCTGCAAATGATGAGAAAGGAGGTGAGCCGGAGTCCCTTGCTTCTATCAACAAGGTAAGTTCCTTTTTGCTTTCATAATCCAGAGGGTTATCCACGGTCAAAGCTCCACTCCACTGCTCCACATAAAACATCTCTTCAAAGTTTCCAGAAGCTAGATAAAAGGAGACTGGCTCAGCTCTGACGCTCGACGCAGAGACAACTGCAACTAATGTCCCCACCGGCTCATCCTCAGAGAGGAAATCACTCAGAACATCCACAGTCATCTCTGGAAAATCAGAGACGTTCTGAAACCGGACGCTGATTGTAGTGACGTCAAATTTAGGATTTTCTCCAGCGTCTTCCACATGAACACGGACGATGATATCTTCCGTTCTCCAGATGGCGCTTGAAGCCGTGACTGTGCCGCTGTCCGGATGGATGGAAAACAGATCTGAACTTTGTCCATACAGCGAAAAATGCAGTTCGGCGTTCATTTCAGTATCTCCATCTGTTGCTCCTACTGCACAAACAACTGAGCCTGTAGGACAAAAAATGAAACATAAAATAAAACTCATCCAATCAAGTCCATGTTATCCAGAATGAAATATACAACAAATCAAATGGCAGTGAAAACACTTACCTGGAGCCATCTCATTGGGCACATAGGCCACATAGGGACTGTTCATGAACTGAGGCCAGCGGTCGTTAATATCTCCAATGAGAACAGTGACAAGCACTGAGCTTGACAGAGGCTGAGTAGGATGTCCATCAATGCCAATCACCACCAACCTGTAAATGGCTACTGTCTCTCTGTCCAGGACATCAGTTGTAAACAGCTCGCCAGATGTTTCTTCAATGTCAAAAGGCACATCAGAGTTTTCCACGGAATAACTAAAGGAGAGTCAAAAGATGAAATAGTCAATCAGCGAATTTGGATGAAGTACTTATTATTACAATGTAAATGCTATGAAACAGCAATTTACAGTTGCTTTTGTGCAGCACATTCTGCAAATCCATTGACACAATTGTGTTGGTGATCCTGCTGAAGCACTAGAAACACAAAAGGCCTGAGCCAATGCCCAACCGAATAAGTATTTTAAGTTTGTATTATATAAAGGGATTTTTTACGCGTTACCTTAGTTCTCCACTGACTCCCTCATCAACGTCAGATGCAGTTACCATGGCAAACACCGTGCCGGCGGGGCTGTCCTCAGACACTATGGTGTTGTAGACCTCCTGAGTAAACTCTGGACAGTTATCATTGACATCATCCACTATGACGCGTATGGTTAGAGTTCCTGTTAGAGGTGGCAATCCTTCACATGACAGAGTACATAATGTTTGAAGTTTGAAGAGAATATGGGAGTTTTTAAAAAACAGAACAGAATTTTATGAAGTGATCTCATTTTACTTTGGCCTGAATCACCTGAATCAACAGCAACGATGTTGACCAAGTAAGATGATTCCTTCTCTCTGTCCAGGCTGCGTAAAATCTGAAACATGCCGCCGGGTGTGATGGACAACAAACCGTCAATATTTCCTTTTTGTATATTATAGGTCAGCTGGCTGTTGACGCCTAAATCTTCATCCAAAGCAGATACCTGGATAAAAAAAAACATTATTAATGTAGACTTTAACATTTTGTTAATTAAAGACTTTGAATTGAAGGTTGTTAAGCAGAGGCACCTGACGTGTGAGCTGAGCGGGGTCCTCATCATTCTCTCTCACATGCATGGTCAGCGTCGGTGGAGTAAAGAGGGGCGCAAAGTCATTGACATCCAACACTGTGACCCTGATAGCAGCAGTGGCCGTTCTGTGTACATTCCCCTGATCTACAGCCGTCACGATCAAGGTGTAGTCTGAATCCTTCTCCCTGTCCACTCTGTCCATTACTGAGATGACGCCACGAACCGCGTCCGCCACAAACGGACTCCCCTGGGTCAGTGCGTACCTAACTTGTCCATTTCTCCCAATGTCTCGATCAAGAGCCTGAACCCGCAGCAGGCTTGTCCCTCTGGGGACGTCCTCTCTGACTGCGAAGCTGTAAGTGCTTTGAGGGAACTCTGGATCATGATCATTGGCATCTTCAACATGCACTATGAGATTCATTACGGTCTCCATTCTGGGTGAGCCTTCATCAGCGGCCGTTACTGTAACAGTCAGGGTGTCTCTCTGTTCTCTATCCAAGTCCTCCTCCAGGTATATTTCTCCACTCCTGCTATTGATGCTAAACTTGCCGCCGGAAGTGTTGTTCAAATAATATGAAACTTCCCCGTTGGATCCAACGTCTTTATCTTCAGCATGCACAGTCGTTATTACCGAATGAAGAGCGGCGTCCTCTGGTACACTGACGACTTCGGCCGACACAAACAGTGGAGGGTTGTCGTTGACGTCATCGACCACCACAATAACATGCGCCGTGCTGGTGAGCTGCAAAGACACAATCTGGACACAGTCATTGGCCGTCACAGTGAGATTGTAGAGCGGTTGTCTCTCTCTGTCCAACGCTGCGTTCAGGCACAAAACGCCAGCTGTGTTTATGGAGAATACATCCTCCTCGTCTCCACCGGTAACCCTCAGATTCAAGGCTCCATTTTCACCTGGCATGGAGGAGAAGATCATGAATGGTGTTATCACAAACGTCGGCTTGCCCTTCTCATAATACTTTGTCTATTATGTATGAAACAAGCAACAAAATGTTGCACTCGTGTTTGCAACTAAGTGCATATTTCAATATTTTATAAAAGTTCGGATCAAGAAATTCTTTATGATCCGAGGGATAATTAGTTGTGCAGAGAAAAAGAAATCCACCACCGAATCATCAGACAAACAGTTAACAGTAAACACAATATTAAGATGATACTGAGTTATTTAAAAAGCCAATGACCACAGGGACGGATGGACTCTAGAATTTGGCAGGAAACAATCAAATAACACAAAAATAAAGAAGATGTGTTATTATGTCTGGATCTGACTTGCCAGATGGAGCATTTCTTGGTAAGAAATGTGTTAATCATGAACATGCATCATAAATGAGTATGTTTATTGTTTTACCACCATGTCGGATTGTGGATTCTACTTAAATGTCACAGGATGAATGTCACATTTATATTGTACTCTTGCGCTTACCATCGTCGTTATCTGATACATTCAAGGGGAGGAAGCATGTGCCCACCCGAGCGTCTTCCAGCAGTGAGGCAGCGAAGGCACCCTGTCTGAAAACAGGGGGGTTGTCATTCACGTCTAACACGTTGAAGTACACCCTGACACCGGATCCCCGGGACTCCCCCGGCTGCGCCACCACACTGAGTATGTAGAATCTTTGTGCTTCGAAATCCAGGCCGCGGGATAATAGGAACTCCCCTGAGAAGGGGTTGAGGAGGAACAGGTTCTCACCATCATCCTCCTGCACTGAGAATGTGATAGGCGTGAGACTCTCAAACCCAGTTTCCAACTTTCCAACAACGGTGCCTGTCAACACACGGATAATGCACAATTACTGTTATTGTGACTGTGAGATGGAAATCTAACATCTCTCAAAAACAGAAGGACCAAACTATAATTTCCATTAGATTAGAAATTGAAATACTAAAGAAAACATGCAAATACGTTTTACTGACCAAAAAGAAATGAGGACTGTATATCAAATCACAGGTTAAATAATAGAATTTAAAATGCAATAACATGTTAAAATAATAGTCACATTTTGGCCTAATTTACACAGAGAGGGCTTCGCTGCACAGATGACTAACCTGGTATTGTGTCTTCTTTTACTTCAAATGAATAAACAGTTTTGGACAGAGCCACCTGTGTTCGCCATCTGTTGTGAGAGTGTAAGGCGACAGATGTATGATACCAGGAGGGAATCGGACGCTGCCCTGAGATGTCGTTTAACTGTCTCTCACTGCTTACAATCACTGTATTTCCAGATGACGGTTCATGTGAGGAAGTGGCATCAAACACCTTAGGAACCATGGAAAAACATAGTGACTCGTGTTTCTATTTCTGTTACAATTGTCATCTTGTGAAGCATTTATATGGACCATAAAATTTAAATAGTAATTGATATGTTAAACAGGTTTATCTCCTCTCTACAACATAACAGCAAAGATACCAACTTACCAGAAAATGAAACAATACGATTGTGTATATTCTCCTTTGTCCAATAGAGTCCATTTTAAAGTGAACTTCCAATGTACGTTTTACTTACAAAACCATGTGAGAAAATAATATCCCAAGTAAAACAAAACAGACATTGCATTAAAAAGACACGTCCTAGAAACGTCCTTGCATTACTTCCACAGAAGACCAACAAAGGGAAAACTTTTAAAGCCGTCGCCATAGTGATTCTCAATCTTCTCAGCTTGTAATCCTGACTGACACGCCCCTTTGACATAATTCTATGCAAATCCAGCAGCAGAGAAAAAGACTCTGTTGGGGCAACAAAATGCAGCAGATTGAACCTCGTTTTTGTCGTTATAAAAAAGTAAAAAAAACATGCCTTGCGATATTTTAACAAATTAGTCCACAAGTCTTTGTGTTGGGAAAGTGAATAACAAAAGCATAATGAATTACTATGTTTTGCTGCGTTTCATGTGCTCCCCATAGACGGGTTTCTCGACGTAGTGCTGTAATGAACATTTGAATGCAGTAATGTGGCCTACAGGTCAGATGGGGAATTAATTCAGAGGCTGCAAGGTGAAAGGAGGGAAAAGAAAATTCTTGCTGTGTTTCACAGGTTCCAGACAGAATGTGCCAGTCGCACACGGAAACTGAACATCATTTTCTTGGAGCAATACATTTGAGTACATGAGCAGCATTGCCATAGTACATTATCGTTGATATTCAAAATGTGTGCACACGCCTCTTTCGGACTTTCATTTATGGTTTACTGAATTTTTGCTTCTATAACACATAACCGGACCACTATCCGTAAGGTTTTCCCCTCTAAAAGAGTCAGCACTAAGCTTTAGAAACACTGAATGTGAAAACCTGTATCCCCTGTGAGACCCACTCACTCATATTTGCTAAGACTTTTAGGAGGACAGTTCTTTGTATAAAAAAGGTTATCACTGCTGAGAAAAGCCTGATAAATAGACATGAGAACCCCCTTTCAAGTGACTGTGAGGCCACCGGGGCTGTGAAACTGTCTCCAATTACACAGAGGGTCAACTCTACCCGGCAAGGCACCACAAAAGGCCGCTGCCTGGTTGAGTTCACCGAGAGAACTCTTCTCTGGGCACCTAGACTTGAAAAGGTGCTCTATACTTACTTTCATTTTTTGAAGGTGGTGGGTACAAAATAAATCCACTACTTAGTTTGCATGACCGTGACAATGTTATTCGTCTTCCCTATAACATAATACAGCACCGCGTTGTTTTCCTCTGCAGTTGGCGCCACCTTCTGGAGTCCCAGTACAATAATCAACGTCTTACTTTACAGTTATTTCGGGGGGGGAGGGAGCAGAGGGAGCCTAGCACGTGAAATTATATCAATCAGGTAGATAATACTCATATGCACATATGATTAATACTTTGTAGTGTGAATGTTTGGATATTTCCAAAGCAATTAGAAAAGATATATAACAGATTTATTGTATGTATGTCTTGTGCACTTTTCATTTTCTAAACACTCACATCAGAAATTCATCTTTCCTAATAGCCAGGTATATATTTTGTAGAGTCAGACGTGTTTGTGAACTTGAGTGAGTGGGTGATTCATACCATGATTCAACTATTATTCATTTATTACACAATGAGAGGCTACTTTGATGCAGCAACATCAAGTGATCGCGACTTGGTCACTTGTGCCGCTGCCTGCTGAACAAAAAAGGCTCAAACCTCCTGAATTTTCAAAGGTTCATGTGAATACTTGATAGTTATCAAAGTGCCGCCGTGTAGCCTGACTGTAGACGTTGGGAATGAGAAAAACAAAAAACAAACTTCTTTTAAAAAAAAGACGAACTTTATTGAAGACATTCTTGAATGTCCACAACTGTGTTTGATATTAGAGTGGTATTCAAAGAACAATAAAAAGACACTGGGACAGCACATAAAAAAATATTTTTTTTAAAATAAAGAAAAATACATCAACTCAGAAATCTAAATCTTGAGTTGTACCACCTAAGGACTAGTTACTTTGTTACTGATTTTTTTGTTCTCCTAACTTGTTACACAATATGGCAGGAGATGAACAACGACCACAAAAAAATCTCAAACTTAAGATATGTAGTGTTAACTTTACAAAGGAAAAGAAGAATAACACTGTACATCTTAGAAACATTAAATATACACAGGTTCTTGTTCCGTCTGACTTATGTTTCAAGATGGTGAATTGAGTATATTAGAATTATATGGCATGAACCAAACTCCCATCCTGAAGCAGTTTACTCATCATCGTCATCATCGTCGTCGTCATCATCGTCGTCTTCGTCCTCATCGTCGTCATCATCTGCTGTGGCGGCAGCGGGGGAATCCACTGTGCCCTTTGTGCGGTAAGCAACGACATCCTGTGGAGGGGCGCGACAAATGTGTCTTTAGCACCAGAGTCTCACAGACTTCTCATGAAATGATCTTCTAAAGACTAAATAAGAAATTGGGTGTTCTTACCTTTTCGTATTTCTCCTTCAGCTTGGCAGCCTTCTTCTCATACGGCTGCTTGTTCTCTGCAGATGAGCCGTTCCACATCTCTCCCAACTTCTTTGCTGTGTCCCCGATGGTTAGACCGGGATGCTCACTTTTGACCTTGGGACGAAAGTCTCCACAGAACAGAAAGAACGCAGACCTGTAGGACAAAGAGGGGTCAGAATAATGATCACAATCCACTAGTTACTGTGAGAAAAAAATGACTTTGGTGGTAGAGCAAGTTCATTGTGGTACATACGGTGGTCTCTTGGGGGCGTTGGGGTCCTTGTAGCGCTTCTTCTTCTGGCCCTTGGGGGGATCGTAATTCTTCATGTCCTTCTCATAACGCACCTTGTCGAGTTTGGCCATGTCTTCAAACTTGCCTTTCTCTTTCTGTGACATTGTCTTTGGGGGAAGTAAAAAAACACCGTTTCAAACAATCTTGAAGACATAGGCTATTTGTAGAACAAATAATGGATAGAAACATGAGTTCAGATGTTAATACAAATGCACTTTACCTTCCATCGCTCGGAGCATTTCTTGGAAAACTCTGCAAAGTTGACGGAGGCGTCGGGATGTTTCTTCTTGTGTTCCTCGCGGCACGTCTGAACAAAGTAGGCATATGAGGACATTCTGCCCTTCGGCTTCCTAGGATCCTTCCCCATCTTGGATCGCTAAAGAAACATGAAAAGAAAATATATGATAATATAAGACAAACGTATCCATGCATAATTATGCAGCAATGGCAACATCCAAATAAATCCCTGGTCAATTGCCCCGCTCTTGCTTTGTCAAGTCTATTGTTTAAATCGGGTGGTGGGAGGGTCTCTGGGATAACTAACAATACGCTGTGCGTAGAGGCCAACATGAGGCATTATTTCACATTCAACAATTTAGTTTAGTTGAAATGTATTTCAAGCATTATATCACGATGATATAACTTCATTTAATGGAGGTCGTGAAAACAGAACGCGTGGAAAATGCTATCGCCGAGCTACGCTCGCCTCCCATTCAAATAGCATGTAGATGAGTAGCGTCGGATTGGCATTAGCTTCCACTGAATTCATTTGTTCGTTAGCCGCTAGCCGCAGTGAGTCCACACTCGCTTTGTTCTCCGACTGTATCGGCGTTAGCCTTTCAGCTAAGCTAGCTAGCTTTAGCTAGCTCGCGCGCTGCTAATTTCATGAGACGATTATTAAAATGGCTGATTTGATTGCGAACAATGGCTAACGGGGATGCCACCACACCAGCCGCCTTTTTTTTTTTTTTTTTTTTTTTTACAGGCCCTTTCCCCCCCCTCTCCCTCCCCCATCGGCAACGGCCTGTCTGCATAATGCAGATTGTTGGGTTTAAAGTTTCGATAAAAGTGGTATTGAACGCGCGTGCGGATGCTCCGCCCGCATCCCAGTCACCGCCGCTGCTGCTGCTTCAGCAACCGTCAGATGTAGAAACGCACGTTCACCTTCTCGCGGCCGTTAGCTCGCGCGCTAGCAACGCGACCGGCCACCACGACGAGCGGCGCTTCACGCGTTAGCGGGACGTTGCGACAGCCCGGGCGCAATGGCTGGACCGGTCACTGGGTGATGTGCACCGCGTCCCGCTTGGGCTGTTACACACGGGCCGAACGGTGATGTCAGCGCAGCTTAAGTTTACGGGACCGTGTTAAACATCAGCTAAAAAAAAGGGCTCGCTACAGGCGTTAGCATCGGATTGAGCTCAGTCACGCAGCCCGACGGCGTATATAGTTCACGCGCCCGTCTATGCGGTCTTAAAAGTTACACACGGTTTCATTCGCAACAGTTCCGCGGTGGTCTCTCGGCGTGCGGCACGCAAGGCAACATGCACAATGCTCACCCCAACGACGGCGCTATATGACGCCAGCTTTACGACGGTACGGCTCAAACAATGGAAGGAAAAGTAGCGATCGGCTGCGCGGTCGTTTCTCTGCGAGGAAGCCCGTGTGCCTGCGCGTCGGGCTCCGCCTGACGGACATTGGCTGCCGTAAAGTCCTTGGTGTCTCCGATTGGACGCGCGCTGTCTCGGTCCTGCTTGTTGTGCAGTTGGTTAGAAAAAAACAGCGTCGGTGGCGCTAAACTTGAATGTCGAACGTCAGACGACAGTGAGTTCGATTCCGGGTGAAGGTAAAGGTGGATGTTGTGCACAGACTATTCATTAAGTACCAAATTAATAGCTGCGGGTGAGAGCGTTACGGTGTAATAGACCGAGAGTTGTGTATGATCTTGCTTAGTTAATTACATGTCACAAACGTATTCGTATATTAAGATTATTATTATTTAACGTGTGTGGTTGAGCATGAGTGCAGTTAGAAAGAAATCACATGGAGCAAGCTGGTGGACTTTATTCTCTAATTTTCTTATGAACTATCTATCATTAATTGCAAAAAGGAGACTTGTCAATTTTCGCTAAGGCCAACAAATTGTTCTATGAAATAGTTATATATATATTTAGTAGGTTCATATGCTGTAATATACAATACATGTACAGTATTACTATTTGAAAATCCAATAGTAATAGCAATAAAGTTTAGCGATAAATGACTTTAATGACTGTTGTTTTCCACCACTAAGGCACATGGCAACGTTGCATTTTTAATGCATCTCCCCTGCTGAGCAAGTCCTTGTGGCCATTCAGATGTTGTAGCTCTCCATAACCACAGCAGCTAGAAACCTTCCATTCCACTTTTGCCGCGATTAAAACACTACCTAAGAGACAAACTTTCACTTTTTTTTCACAAATTAAGGATCCACAGTGGTCAGTAATGCTTATCAGCAAACCACTGATAACTTGAAAGAAATGAAAATGCAACGGTTTTCATTATACTGAAAACAACCACAGCACAAGATTCCGAAAACTGTGGGCACCAATGGCAACCAAAGGTAATGTTAAACCATGGATCGCCTTCGTAGGGAATGGAACAGCTTACCTGAAAGTAACTTAATCATTTTAGTTGTCATTATAGTTGATTCAGCAGGCATCTCATTACTCTCTTGCATTTATAATGCATCTTGCTTGCTTGCATCTTGGTTTGCTGTTATATGATATGTGAATCTTGTTACCTTGTGCAATTAAGATAAAAGACATAATGCATTATTTTTTAGACATTGCAGAGTCATGTCTTAATAATGCTCCTATTTACCCTTTCAGCATTATAGTTAAATATATAAATGTATAAATATAGCAAGAATACTATTTTATTATGCTATTAATTTTTGTTGATTCCAGTTGTGAGTGGAACAACTGTCATTGTCCCCCTCAGCTGAAGATGAGTCCAAATAAGATTGTCAAGCTAAAAAAGACTCACAATACAAAGGTTTTCACGGTATTTCTAAAATTTGCATATTTGTTATTTTCCGAATTCACGGTTGCATTGTGCATTTTTCTCTAGAGGGCAAACAGTGGTGGGATCCATATGAAACATCCAACAGAAGACAATTCATCTGCCATCCAAAGTCGGCAGCAGAGATTCTGGTGTAAGTTCTGTCTACAGGCGTGTGGTGAGGGTCTGAATAGGCATTTAAAACATGTGCGTTTGTTTCTCTCTGGGTGTAACTGTGTGTACCTGTGTGGATGCATCGTGCAGCTGCCCAACGTCAACTTTTGTAGACTCCTCTTCGAAGTCTGGAGCTCTTGGTTCAACGGTGTACAACAGGGATTTTGGCTGGAAGCCGCCCTGTAAACCTGAATGCATTCGCACAGGAACGGCTTCGGGGCAGAGGAGAAACAACCCGCACCCCAGTCAGGTCTGGTATTTAGGCTGAGTTAGCCTCAAGTTTGCATTCATAGCTGAATGCCACGCTTGACCTCTCGCTGTGTATTGTAACCTTTTAATCTAAGTTGTTGTCTTTTCCACATCAAGTCTTTCCTGAAGTGGAGCCTGCCTGGGGATGCCACACAAAGCTCTGAGTATGTTGTCTTCCCTCGCGAATGTCACCCATCTGAGGGGGAGATCCGTATGGCTTTGACAGCACAGTACAGCTCCATCTACAGATGTGACTACGCGGGTATGCCGCAAGGTATGACAAGTCAGTTCAGTCTTGTGTATGCGAAATCATGCAGGAAGGGCCGAACGACTTACATTCAGGAGCAGAAATCTCCCAAATAAAACAGTCAAGAAATGTCCCTCTACAGCTCTCTGTTTTGTTTTTGTTGCGGAAACTGCTTGACAGGACACAATCATCGTAATAACGGAGAAGTTAGAATTGCACCTTGGCAGAGCAGGCCGGAAGTGCCCCTTCCTGCCGATACCGAGATGAGGGAGAATTATCGCCAGCCAAAGCAAAAGCCTGGACTGCAGAGGAACTACTCTCCTTACAGCTGCAGCGCCCCCAGCATGGGATGCTGTGGTATAGGTACTATATGCTAAGGAACGATACGACTGTAAAAGAAGTAAAGGGGGCTTTTAATTCGGCGAGGTAATGCTTTCTATCAATGATTACCCTGTGTGTTGCAGTTCCCACTGTGGTGCAGAGACACGCTCAGCAGAAAAGATCACATTTGACAAACTATGACAGGTTTTGCGGAAAGACAGACACTAATGTCCCAAATATGATCAAGTCTCTGCTGCCCCAGGAGCTGCAGCACTTACACAGAACTTTACCTGAGGAGGGTGAGCGTCACCATTACACGATTGCAAACTGATTTTGATTTTTGTCGGATGGTGAACTCATGTTTTGTTTATTTTTGCTTTGCAGTAAAGGAGGCTTTAAAACCGGTCACGAGGATCGATGCTCATCCAAACACTGGGGATGAAGTAAACAAACTCCCACCAGTTGAGCTTCATTCCTGCTCACCAAAGGGGATATCAAGTTGGACAGGACCCTTCTGAATCTTATTGCTTATGATAGTTTGTCGTTTTATATCTTTTTTGTTTTATGCTAGGGAGGCAAACTGTAATAAACTTTAATGGTGCACTCAGCAGATTTCCCCAAGTGTTTCTGCGACAACCACTGCCGATTTAATTCATCAAAATTCTGTCTTTCTGAATGTTTGGTCATAATTGTAGCTTTTTAAAATTGCTATTACATTTGAATGGCAGAAAAAACACAATGGTTGAATATGCGACAGCGAAGAAAACCAGCTCAATTTCACGAAATACTATACACATAATCTGCTTTTCAAAAAAAAAATTACGATGCAAGCCCTAAAATTAGTCCCACTGTTTACTAAAACAATGACAGCTAACATTGGGGCCTTTTTATAAAAGCATTTGTTAGCTATAGAGTTGGAGTAATGTATGCTTTCTTTTACTTTATGTACTAAATGATGTCTGTATTGCTTTAAAAAATAGTTTCAAGGGATTTGAGGTGTTCTGCCGCTGGTTTGTGCGGTTGTGTAGATTGTGCGTAGTGTCTTGACAAAATTTTCCTTTTTTTCCAAATAGTACCAAAGCAATGTAAAAAAACGCAACAGCTCTCTGACCTTATCTATCCTGTTTGCAGATGATATCAAGACAGAATAAAATGCGTTGCATTCATCTAACAGGTTCTCTCTCTACAGAATAACACATGGACATTTTAAATGATTCTGTCTTGCGTTGTGAATTAATGTTATGCCAGTCTTTCCAAACAGAATAATATATTTATAAATTTGTCATTTATCCATTCTGTTGCAATGAAAATGAACGATGGCCTGAAATGATCAACTAAAGGATTAAAGTACAATCAAAACTGTGTAAGATATTGTTTGTTTGCAAACTGAGGCTGTTTCTCTCCCTGTAAGTGCCGGTTCTTGTGTTTAGTCGTGCAGTCTCAGTTGACACTCTTGGTTTCTTAGTAACCATGGGGCCACCTGCTCCGCTCAGGTGTAATGTTAGAGTGTCAGGTAGACTGATGTCCGATTAACATCTTTTCGCAGTTCTGACTGAAGAAATGTGCCGCACGCAAGTCTGCGTTTTTACATTACATCAAACTTCGAGATACATCATCTAACAAGGATGCCATTGGGCAAAAAGGTCCGCTCATCTTCTGCTTCAGGAAGATTAAAACCCCAACAAATGTCCAGGTAGTCTGTTTTTCTCCTTACCTCCCGCTTAGATTAGTTTTGTTCTTATCTTATCAATTAAAATCTTAATATGAATTGTTTGACTGTCTCGACAATGTGCGTTCAGAAAATGTCTACTGTTGTCATGGTGCTTTAGTTGCCATCAGTGGCTGCACTGAGCCGTTACCATGTAATACAGGAGTCTGGTCCCCAAGCACCTACAATCTAATTTAGGTATAGATAGATATGAGCGCTTGCACTCTAGTAAAAATCAAGTAAAGAAAATCAATACAGAAGTGACCTTTAAATATGCCTCTAATGAGCGCCAAAGATGTATTTTTACACGATAAAAATATGCCCATAGGGCGAGCATTTACCAAAAGCAATATCCTCCAGCATCCTCTCTGAAGTGGGGAGCACAGGTAACAGAGCGACGGGACCAGGTTGTTGGGGGGAGAAAGTCAAGGATAAAACCTCAGCACCAAGACGGAAGAGTGTCAGGGAGGACGGAGAGCAGCCTGAATGGCTGGTTCGAGAGCTTCTGAGACAGAACGTCCGAAGACACTCTGTCACACTGGGAGAAGACGACGAAATCATGAGACGACAACACCACAGAATTTGCTCCACTCGCAGACTGTGCAGCCTCAAGGTATGTTGTTTTAAAAACGCGAGATCAGATTAGTAAATGGAACAATGCGCATCTGAAATGTTAATGTCGATTATTTCAGACCTGTGTTTAATTTTCTTCTCCTATGTAAAGACTTTGTCAAGACTACTTACAGCCTCTAGGTGTCACTATAGCGTTACACTGCCACACTCCCCAGTTTACAGACTCATTTCTGGAGTGCTTAAACTCAACTGCAGTTGAAGCATATCTCATTCACAAGGTGAGCGTCAGAATGAGTGAGAGGTGGTGCCAAAAGGACCGTTTTAAATCAAGCCCATGACACATTTTTTACTCCCAGCATGACAGCACACCGGGCAGGACAATCTGTCCCCAAGCATTGGCCATTCTCAGGCCAAAGTAAAAACAAACATGGTTGCCCACCTAACTGCTGAAAAAGGACGCAAAGCGGATTCACGTTCCGTATCTCAAGCTGACAGGACTGATGGGCCGACGTTGAAGTTGCAGATGTCAGTCACACCCTCCAGATTAATGTATGGAGCAACGCGCCGCGGCAGATTAGACGGAATAGGCTCAGGAGTTCAAAGTTATACCGCCCTGATAGAAGGGATTTGGTGAGCAGTCGTGGTTGTGTGAACACCTTCAGCACTTCCATTACGCTGACTGATAAAAAACAATTATCTCTGTAATTCAGCAGATACCGTGGGCTCTGGTGACACCCTTGAGGAATTAGGCTGTTTAGCCCGGTTATTTATTAATGATAGATCAAAGAGTGCCGTGGATCAAGGACACATTCTAGGAAACCATGTAAAATCGAAGCGAGGCCGTTAACACTGGGAGCACGGCCTGTCATCTGGCCTTGTGCGAGCATCTTAGAGACGTATATAGCCAGCCATGGCTTGTGGTGGCCATTGCAGATAGTCATTAATACCCAGAGGGGTTACCCTAATCATGTTCGTTGATAATTGCATAGTGTTGAAATGCTCCTCTCTAGCACTCAGACTTTATGAATTGCCTGGTGAGTGAACAGAAAGAATGAAATGTACTGGGATTGTGCATTGAGCTTTTTTTGTCGAATATTCCAAATGAACCTGCAATATTAATTGTTTCATTTCATAATAAGATTTTTCCTCTCTCCAATAAGATTGATGAGACATTATCACTCGACCACCTCCAGAAATTAAAACTAGCATTTGAGGTACTGTATAAATTGCATCTTTAAAAAACACACCGACTGTCTGGTGATTCATTTCTGCACGATTTGATTGTATTTTCTCTTGTAAAAGGAATTCGAAACAGATGGCTTGAGATCCATTGATGTGAATCATTTTGGACATATAGTGAAGAAGTGTCTCGGCCTGCCTAAGACAGTAAGCAGTTTGACATTTCTCATTTTATTTAACTCTCTATGATTCTGTGAGCGGTCTTACATCTTAGCAATGGAAGACAAGCATTTGCAAGTGCAGTACCTGATTAATTCACAATAAGTGTCACTGTTTCTTATTCTTTTCTGCTTTGAATTTCACAGAGCAGTGAGCAGATTCAAGGGTTATTTAAGAAGATTGATTTTTCAGGCCAGGGAAAGATTTCATGGGTGAGACTACATTCCTCTTGGTTTCTTATGGAGCAGGCTGCGTTTTTATTCTGGAGAGTTGTCTTAGTAATGATCCTTGTCATGCATCCTAATGCCAATAATTTCCATTAAAAAAAAGTATTGCAGGAGCAAGTGCAACCTGTAACTTATATGAACAAAAGCATACCTCAGTTTGAGTATGTGTAATAACACATGGTAGAAACTTTCCCAACATATTTCTGTCGACTCTTGACACTTGACATATGAATCTTGTCATCCTGTCCAGCTGGAAAAGAGTTGCTTACAAAAATGTATGGAAGAGTATTGATTTGTTTGAGCCAAGTAACTCATTTTACACTTATAGTGGTATACATTGGTGTAATTTCCTCAGGCAAAAGAGGAGACAAATCATCGATCAAGTATGTTGGAAAAGAATAAATCTCTGTCACAAAGAGTGAGGTCTGAAGGTGACTTTAAGTAAGGTTGTTGTGTCAACACTACAGCCATTTCACAAAATTCCCTTTTCTTATTAGCACATTGAAAATAGTATCTAACAACTTTCATCGTTTCAAAATTGATATTGCAAATAGGAATCCTAATCTCGACACTAAACTTTGTGTTGTTTGAAGCACTTTTTGTTTCACCCCTACATCTGGAAGTAACCCTACGGACCCACTCGTGTATAGCCATGGCGACAGTTTGATAACTACCAACATGTGGGCTAGACGACTTTAACATCCGGTAACGTGTCGCAGGGTCAGTTCTGCTCGCACACGCTGCAGAAATACAAGGAGAAGCAGGAAACTGCAAGGCGCAGCAGACAGGTGGCGTTCACCCTGCCAGCCACGGTGAAGGCGCTGTGCCACGGCATCCCCGTCGCCAACATCCACTCCACCCATGATGGCACCATGGTATCAGTGGGAGAGGACGGGGTTGTATGCCACTTGAGCCCTGAACTTCAACCACTCAAGACCAAAAGCATCTTTGTATGTTTTACCTTTTCACATTTATATGCTCTCTACGTTTAGGGTCATGCTATATTATTATTATATTATATTTTTGTAGGCCGACTAGATGAACTCAAATGTATGATACGTGTGCACATTTGATTCAGTAAGATAATCATCACTAATATAAAAAATGATTTTATTATTTTTGAAGCGTCGACACAATTGGCAGAAAAAAAATAAATCTAGGTGGGATGACGCTTGTTTTTCTTTTGTAGTCACAGAGATGTATAAAAATCTATTAATAAGCTTGTGTCAACCACATCTCTTTTTTTAGCCATCCAAACAAAAACGCATTGACTTTGAGACAATGGAACATTCCCAGGTTTTCCTCATAGCTAAATCAGGTTGCCTTAGATTATGCAGCTGAGAAATGTGGAACGCTTTTAATACATAAATGTTTTGCTATTTCTTACAGAATGAAGGACCTGCAAACAGGAAGTCGAAGTGGGCAAGTGATTTTACTCTGATGACCGAGTTAAACAAGCTGATGATTGGAACGGGGTAAGTTTTAGTACAATGAATGAAAGAGCCCATTATCTATTGTGTACATAGATTACTCTAACTGCAGGTTCCAGACTATTCAAGCTTTATTTATTGTGCGTTTCTTTGTTATCTTGCAGGGACAGAGAGATCCAATTTTATGAGCTTTCCACTCTGGAGCCTTATTGCCAGATCAACGCACTGGACACGGTGCCTTTGACAGTAGACTATGGGTGGGCAACAACACTGCATGCGAACATCATCTTCCAATTGTCACAATAAGTCACCATCATGGTCGGTTTCTGTCCCCTCATAGCAATACTGGCCCTGATAAAGGTTGTATCCTGTATGGAGACACAGAAGTAGGTCCTTTTGTTAAAACCCGATCCAATTCTAAGAAAATATGTATTTAAAAAAATTGATTACTGAAATAGTTAAATTTTGATGTTTGTGTTTCAGGGATGTGTGACTATCTTTTTAATATCCTCCGTTGGCGATACCCTCAGGTAATTATTCTGAAGATGAACTACACAACCTTCTTTAACTTGACTTGTCACTGTAATGTAAAGTAATCTAACATACTGGTTCTTCCAACATAATTACATTGCATTACAGGTCATTTAGCAGACGCTTTTATCCAAAGTAACTTACATTACACTTTAAACCCATGGCTTTTTCACATTTTTGCCTGGGGAGCAATTAGGGGTTAGGTGTCTTGCTCAGGCACACTTCGACATGGAACATGGGGCAGCCTGGACTCCAACCACCAACCTTGTGCTTCCCATTGTGTAATTAATTAGTTCCAGTTATAACTGAGAACTGAGTGGATTCCTAAAACAATTGCTGGGTAGGAAGCAATATGAGCACAGAAATGTAAAAAAAAGGATGTTGGAAAATTATACCTTTGTTTCCTCTCGACAATCATATAAATGATATGCATGTCATGGGAGTTCAGCAGTATTTCAGAAATGGTGACTGGTTCAGGCCCGCTTGTTCATTTCCATTTCCATTTTTTTTGATAGATTATGGAATAAATTACCAAAGATTGAAAATATGCCCAACATAGCGGCTGACAATGCAGTGCTATCTCCCAATGTGACATTTGTCAGATGGAAGGTTCATCACGACTGGGTGACAAAGGTGACTTTTTTCTCTTCCATATGGATGTACACTTCCCTTACAAAGGAATGGATTTAAGTTCAGCTACGTGACGACTTACGATAGCTGCAGAAGCTGTGTGAGAATACATTTGACTTGCATTAAGAGCAGATAACCCTGAAATAGATTGAACCACCGACTCTTTCTCTCCATTTTAGGCAAAATATTTTCAGAGTTTCCAAGCTGTTGTCTCCTCATCAAATGAAGAACCCTCCTCCCTCGTTATAGGTAACTCTGTTTTTTCCTCTGGCTTTTTTCATATGCTCAGCACAATCGGGACAGCAATCAAACAATCCGAGACTTTCGTTGTCATGACTGTGATTTAAGATCCAGATAAGAAATGAGAAATGTCAATACAAAGTCCTTTTGCGCTACTGTGTGCTGCAATTTACTGCGGCACACTTTAATTTAGTGTTGAACATGAAGCCGCCCGGTAGGAGAGCTAAGGGATGACGCATGATGACTCGCTCGTCTCAAATTCATCAATCAATGCCATCGTGGGTGTTTGTGTTGTGTGAGTGTCACCGTACACCTGCCAGCCTGCTCGTTGGTTGTGATCATTTCCTACCTTGATGCAGAAACCGTGTTTGATCAAGGCTCAACACAGGAGCCTTGTAACAGAATGCTCCTTTTTTTCTTTTTCTTCTCGAGGCTGTGTGCTGCCTTTAACTGATGCTGAGCAGCAGTTGAGTGAGATCACAGAGGTCTGCTATGAAGGTAAGACCAAGAAAGTCCAACTGAGCTGGACTGCACGGCTCCGAGCATCATGCGACCAGACAGTCTTCCCCGTCTACAAAGGTGTCAAGACCTTCGATCTGTGTCGGAAGCACAGCTTACTGGTCACCGGCGGCATGGACAGACTCGTACGCATGTGGAACCCACATTTCTCTGGGTGAGGAGCCAGGAATCTGATGGTCGTCTTGGAGAAAAATTAAACATTACATTTTAAAAAAACATCTTCTCTCGGTTGTGTTCTTCTTGTCAGGGAACCAACCGGTATTTTGAAAGGCCATTCTGCTCCCATCGTCTCCCTCCACATCTTGTCAGAGGACAGTCAGATCTTGTCTGTCTCCACAGACAGCACAGTTAAAGTATTTATTTTGCTTTATTTTGAGTTTAAATGATCCAAAGAAACCCAGCATCCTTACTTCTGCAAGCATCACCGCTGTGGACCTTTCATCAGCAGTGGTGGAAAGTAACCCATTAAATTCACATAGCAATGTAGATTATTCACACAAACATATAATTACTCAGCAGTTTAAGAAGCAGGGTACATTTTCTGGATCTCAACCGTGTTTAAGGAATGCTCTTAATTATTAATAATAATAATGATACAGTAGTATAATATGACACAAACAGGAGCCATTCTGCAGGATATGTATGTTAAATAGTATGTTAATACCTTAGTGTGCACAGTATTGCTAATTCTTCTGTACTTTTACTTAAATTTAAATTAGAAAAGCAGGCATTCTTCAGTGTTGTATTGCTTTTTCTTTTTCATCACAGTTCACCTATTTTCCATTTTCAGATCTGGGATATTCAAGATCAGCATTGCCTGTTTACAGCAGACCTCAAAGCCAGCGGGATTCATGGCGACGTGTCTGCATGCTCGTATTCCTCTGCTCTGAAATGCGTCTACATTGCAGCAGACTGTATGGCTGTGCTCTCCCTGAAGATACGGTTTGTGATTTATTCTTCACGGAATCCCATGAACTCGCATGACAATCCTTCTGAAAACATTCCTCAAATGAACTAATTTAAAGATGATAGTTTGCAGAATTCCTTGAAATAAGGACAGCTGACGCTTTGAAGATTCAAAGTTAGAGTTATTTCCGCACCACAGATTTTAAGATTCGTTCTTTTCTTGAGAGATGACTGTAGTAGACTCAGCATTCAACCCCCCGCCCCTTTTGTTCATCCTATTATGTTCTGCCTCTGTAAGGCCACGGCTTCACAGCCGGCTGACTGTTTCACATGATGAGACTGTAATGTGCTGCGGCTACAGTCAGGAGTTTCGTCAAGTTGTCAGCTGCACTGAGAGATCTGTGAGTAAATTAGTACTTTACAACCTCACTTCTCCACTGTACAATGAATCGGGTCAGATCATATTTATTTGATGTATATTATCTGTCAAATTAAGTCAACATGTTACTCGTTTCAGATGGTGAAAGTCTGGGATTTTGACACTGGGCAGCAGGTTTTTGAGTTTGGTGGCACAAATGATCTGTCTGCCACCACATGCATGACCTTTGACCCCAACGGGAGGAGGTACAGCACACGAGGCAGCTTGTGAAATATTTCATTTTCATAAAAAACATTTAGCAAATACATCAAACTTCTGTTTCCAGACTCATCACGGGTGGGAGAGATGGTTGTTTGAAGATCTGGAACTTCAACAATGGTCAGTGCCTGAAGACACTTAAGAAGCGTAAGTACTGTACATTTCCATTACTTCCTCAGTCCAGAATCTAGAAAAATAGAAATAAATACTGCATTATCCAATAATTGTGGAAAAATCCCCTCCAATCTTTCTGGTAGAGGGTAAATGTCACGAAGTGTGCGACTGCATCTTCCTGCAAGTCAACAGGAATTTGTGAGTAATGATGTGATATTTGGCAAGTTGTCTGGGTACAGATTCTAATTCGCATTGAGCTTGTGCAATTTTACTTTTGAAGCCATGTGATGTCTGTCGGCCGGGCCCGGAAGATAGACATTTACCCGGTGAGTACAAAATACATGAGCTCTGGCTTTTATTTGTCAGTCGTGAAATCCCAGTCCAATTATTTCTCCAATTCCTACATCGCATTGCATCTCATTTGCATTTGTTTACATTGTGATTACCAGCAGAACATTAAAAAACAGCACAAAAAAACCCAGACAAAGACAGACCGTGCTGTATTATGTAGCTTTTTTTAAATTTCATTAAATTTAGTAAAGTAAATTTCAGTAATGTACTGTCATCTGCCGTTGACAGTACTTTACATTGTCTGGTTAATAATCATTTTAATGTTCTAATATGATGTACTTTCAGCTATTTCTATGATCCAAACATAAAAACGTTTTTGATCAAATATGCCCTGTTTTGCCCTGACTTTGCATCTGCAATTTACCAGGACACGCCCGAGGACTTTCATCACATCCAGAGACCGCAGCCTACATGGCAAGATGATCTGGTGAGTAATGAACAGAATATTGTCTTTAATAACTTAAATAAAATTAAATAACTTTAATTGACAATAACTTAGCGAAAACATTTCCGGCGGACCAGAATGATATCAATGGGCTCCGACAGGTAGTAACCATTTCCACAAACATTCGCTTTGCTATCGGACAAAAGACAAATTAGGTGTTTATGAAGAAAAATCATCAAAGCAGACGTTTGTTCCTCCGAAAGTTTCACAGTTTTATAATCCAACGGCAGCCAGTAAAATGGTATTCTTTAGGGATCCTAAACAAAAACATACAAGTCATACAATTCATTTGTTTTGCAGGAATTTGGGCACAAAGTCATGTGAGAAAAATAAAAATGTTGGCCTGATAGCGGAACTAGAGGAAAATACTAGGAATCCCCAAAAAAGCATCAGCACATGTCTTTCAATTAGTACCAAAATCCACATTGCAGAACACGTATCTTTTATCTGATTTAACCTGGATAAAGCCTAAAGGTTTCTGTTGACAGCAGGGCAACGTTGTCTCTCTTTCTCTTTCTTCTGAGCTGTAGGAGGGAAAATTGATTCTCAGTCATGGCGCTGAGTCCCCCTCCATCTCTTTAATCATGGCTGATGGTTACACTCACCCCCCCAAGAGGCCCATTAACAGAGCTGAAAGAATGCATTACCGAGGCTAGCAAGAAAAGGAACCCTTATGACGATCTACAAGGCTTTCTCTTCAAATAGTTTTGCCATTAATGGCCTCGAGATAGCACGTGTTGTGTTGCATCTCATTAATATTTCAACTCTTGGCCCAGTTTAGCTAAATATTTTGCTTGTTCTAAAAATATAATTTACACTTAGTCCACAAATCGGTGCCTCCTCCTTCTCCTAATTTGTGTACAGTTTCTGGTTGGCAACATCACTCGGCAGAGAAAGAAAGAAGCATGTGAAGCTTAAAATGAATTTAATTGTATTGGTATAAGGGGCGGGAGTTATGCTTGGCTTTGGCTTTTTTTAAGCTCCTTGTGCACACTGGATCACATTAAGACAGTCATTGATCTTCAGCGTGTGACACACTTGGCCGTACTGTAAGGAAGATATACCTTCAGTGAAAACTGGGATTCATGGTTTAACATGCGTCAAAACATTTTTCACCATGATTATCTCAGCTCTTGAATGGGACTCTTTAGGTTGTTAGATAAATATTTCCTCCAGGGTTTATCTGAACCAACTGTTGACCTTTGACCTTGTTTCACTTATTTGGTGTTGAGATACGTATCTCCCCTGTGTTTATCTCTTGTCTGTAACATGTACAATACATATATTGACTTAGCTTAGCACAACAACCAGAAATAGGGAAAACCGCTAGCCTGGCTTCGTCTGTGTCATTTTTAAACTGACTTGCACATATAAAGATGCAAGATATCCCATCGATCCCATTTCCCATTGATTGGTGCGCTTTAGAGGTGCTGGTGTGCAGATTTTCTTCTCCCCCATGACAAACTAAGCCAGCAGCTTCCATTTCATTATTTCTGTTAACTTTCTCATCTAACTCTCTGCAAGAGAGCAAATAAGCTTTTATACCCCATAACATTCCCACGGGCCAGTCATTTAATACGATTTTTACCATTAGCTCCAAGTCAGGCTTTGTCTTTTAGAAAATAGTAGTATTACGTGCAGTGCAGAGGTTTGAAATAAAGTGTTTGACATTATTTTAAAATAAACAATGAGTAAAAATAAATGAACAATTAACTTATATATATATATATATATATATATATATATATATGTAATTCTTGAAATTAATTTCAAACTGGAACATAATATTTCCATTCACCTAATATTATTTTTTTTATTTGAAACATTTTTTTTAAACTTAAAACATTTAAAGCTTTAAAATGTAGGATATCTACAGCAGTGTTTTAGAGACACTATAATTGTCTTTCATCAGGAAAATGGCCATAGGGAGGACATCCTGTGTGTGGTGCACTGTCCCCCATCACTCGTAGCCACCAGCAGCTATGATGGAGAGATCATAGTGTGGAACGTAGTTACTGGACGTGTACAATGTCGGTTTTTCAGCCCTCCTCTCGCCGAAAATCTGAATGTTGAAGGTAAATTCAGATATATATTCATATATATTTGATAAAAACTCTGATGTGATCAGAGCACTGCAATTATTGTATGTTCTTTCTGTGTCGCAGCGCTGGATTTAAGTGTTCCCAGCATCATCTTCATGAAGCACTCAAAGTTACACCACTTTTTTTCGGCAACAGCTCTGCTGTCTTCCGGAGCCGCGGGTCAGTGTCATGAACAGCACTAATTACAGCTCATGATTGCATTTTGCAAACATTCAATACACCGTTAATTACTGAATGTATTTTCTCTTTTTAAAGGTTGTGTAAATCTATGGGACGTGCTCAGTGGAGGAAAATGTGTGGGCAGCTTCAAAGCTGTGAGAATTTCTCTTTTTCACTTTTCTTCCTCTTACCTTCAGAATTGCTGAATAAACAGTAAAAAAAAAAATAGCTGCACGTGTTCTGTGCTTTTCTTGAAATAGAAACCTTTCTTGCTTTTATATATTGAACCCTATATATTGGAAGATTGGGGACCATGGGGGCATCCAGCTAAAATAAAACACGTGCCTAAGAAAGCAAACATTTTATTTTTAGGCTATTAAACATTTTATAAGAGTGAGAAAACGACTTGTGAAGTCATCTTAGCTTTCTTCAACAGTTTCTATAAATGTTTACAATCATAACCTTTATAATTCTGCTTATATTCAGTCTAGATTTCAGCAAAAGATTACAAAAATGGCAAAAACCACCGAGGACACGTTGCTGTATGCCGCAGACCGAATTGGTTATGTCTATGTATACGACATAGAGAAGTTTGCCCCTGAGCAAAAATCACCTCACGGTCAGTTGCATTTTCTTTCTTATAATAGGCTTTCATAACACATCAAATGAAAAACTGTCCCCCAGAACATGCAAAATCACAAATGTGAGAGTGTATATTTTTCTACCTTCACTCAGCTGAAAACTTCTGGCGTGCCCACACCGGCAGAGTCACCGGGTACGTAGAATACACAAACATTTTTACTGCGGTCGGTCACAAAGGAATCTTGTCTCTTGATTGAGTAACCGCTATCGAACAGCAATTAGCCTTCACCTTGTGTTATTAACCTTTAGCTGCTTGTTTACTTAATAGTCCCTGTGGGTTCAGTCATTCTCAGTCCGGGGTGTCAATGGCAGCAGGAGCATCATTACCTCCTTCTGCTGCAGTAGACAAACAAACTACAGATGAAACTGTGTGTGGGAAGGTATTAAACACACGATCAGTATAGGGGAGAAGCGGCCGGGGGTGCATCTGCCATGAGATTTAGAGTTTTCTGCCAGAAATGCCTTCTCTCATTTAATCTCATGTCTCTTTATTCTTGTCCAGGCTGCAGATTGTTGACAATGATCAAGTGGTGCTTACCTCATCCTCTGACTACACCGTTCGCCTTTGGAGTGCACATGGAGAATTCATAGGTGGGTGTCATTTTGCATCTGTCAATCCCCTCTTTCGAGGCATTATTTATGTCCAGGCAAACACCATTAATCATGGTGCATGGTGGTATTTGTTGGAACGTTCATTTCAATGTCACGGTATTGTCTGGATTAACCCATTCAGATAAAAACACTTACTTTCACTCACTCTGCCTTATGTATGTGCCCCGTCACCTTTAAGTCCCAGTCAAGTAGTGTGTACACAGGAAATTGCATGGCCACTTAAAAATATTTTGCCTTGACAGCCAACACTACAATGCTACAAACCAGGTTTACAGATTTTTGGTGAATTAATTTTGCAACATGTAAGCACGGTATTAGCTTAATGAATAAACCTTTTAAAAGAAAGTCGTATACAGTCATTCAGTGATGCATGACCAACCTTAAGGCCATATCTCTGCAATAAAACAAATGTACTACAAATGTAATAACCACGAAAGAATTATTACACAGAGATCTGGGATTTCAGGGGCCGCACACCTTAAATATTGTATTTGCTAAGCTTACTCGTTTAATGCACAATCCACCAAGAGTTGTACTCATTTTCTCATTTGACTCTTATCATATATAAGAGTGTGTTCACATATATTTCCCAAAATGGCAAACTACAAATGTCTGTCATCAAACTCGGACTTAGTCCATTCTTGATATAGACACAGTACAACCGTCACTGAAACTCTGCAGTTTCTCTAAATGCTGTTAAACAGCCATATGACATGTGTGGTCCACATGCTGAGGTAATGCAATTCAATGCATATTTCAACTTGTGCACAAGGTATTGCTAATTATCAGGATTATTTTTGTAGGAACTTATGGGTCTTTTCCCACTAAAAGATAGAATTGTAAATTAAATCGACATCTAAGTTGTTATTTTTGCTTACCTTTTTATATACGTAGTTGTCTCTGAGGAAATATCATTAATGACAATTTGGCTTTTATTTTTCAAACTGATTCCTAACACAGAGTAGGACAGGTTAACCCTGTCGTGTGGGTTTGTAGCAATTGCTCTGCACGGTAGGGCACTGCAGATGCAGCCTGATCTCCAAAACCTGTTCGTAAAAATGTATACGAAAATGTAGTGAAGTACAAATTCGTAGTGATACATACTAAATAAATACGGACTGGCAACTGATGACGTCACCCTATTCAAAGTGAATGGGGACCTGCACCCCGTAAACACACTTTGTGAAGTCTAACAATGTAAAATAAACGTGTTATGATTGCACTTTTAACGAGAAATCAATGTTAACTTGTAAGAATACAATACTAACCCCCTCAAAAAATCCAACATGGCGGAGAGACGTTCACTCAAGGGGCGTGGTTAACCACCGCCAGTTAGTATGTTTGTTACGAATTTCTATGTCAAATATTTCGTATACATTTTTACGAACAAGTTTAGGAGATCACGATGTCAAATGAATGATTTCAAATGGATTCAGACGTTATGACATTTTTGACTCCATCACATCCCTTCAGAAACTATGCCGCAAGACTTTGAAAGACATTGCAATGGAATGTTTTGGCCTTCGTCCACAGGGACCTTTGGGCAGTCTGAAAGCTGGGGCGTCCACATCTCCTCTTCTTGGAAACATCCAGCTGTGCCCTACGAGGTGCTGATTGATCCTCTGAGTATGCCTGATCATGAAAGTCTGACTTTCAACACACGTCTTTCTGATGCCATCAATCCTGACAAGACTAGGGCGCATGGAGGTGAAGCAAAGGTGAGCTGCATTACTTCAATAATCATTATGCTGTGTAAGCTTGAACTATGAGGTTCTCTCTTTCTCTCCCTCCTACAAACGTTGAACTGAATTGCGCCTGTTTCTCTACCGGCTTAATTGCAGTCAGAGACTCACAGTAAGCTGAGACTTGCCCCAACATCCATCAGGGACACAAAGATCGGGAAAGATTAAAAGGCACATTTCACCCAGAGGAACAGATGAGTGTAGGTGAGTTACAACCATAACAACAGCAACGACTACTGTTCACCTGCTAAATAAGTGTGGAAAGTGGCACATTTATGTTAAGAGTAAGTGTGAATTCTTTTGCATTTCAGGTTCTGACATGAGACTGACGGGCATACTAACAAGCTACCCAACCACTACTCTCCGAAAGGCTTTGATGCCGTGGAGCCACCAAGCACCAGTGTGAGACTGGACCTCTCGTTGGCAGCACTGAGGAGCTGGAGTCAACTGAAGAAGACATGCCACTGTGTTGATCACATTGCACATCACATTTGATGTTGAAACATGTTGGTAATTTCAATGACAATCTATAGATTTCCACATATTTTTCAATTTTGTAAGGACGTGTGCACCTCTCACAGAAATGCAGACCCAAGGCTTTTATCACGCAGAAACATTTCATTCGCAAGCAGTCCTGAACCAGAAAATCTGACTGTTTTTTTGTAAAATCAAGGATCACCCTCCACAAATGTGCCCTTTCATTTACAATCACAGTAGAAAAATCCTTGGTGACACTGACTTGATTATCTTGTTCCTAGCTACGGGAGACACAGAGTTTATGTGCAGAAATCTGGCGTGTCCTGTCAATGTGCACTTGAATAAATGCCACTTGGCCGGGTTTTGTTGTTTGTAGACCTGCACACAACAGAAAACAAATCAAGCTGCGAAAGTAGAAGGCTCCTTTTGATGAAATGTAGCATTTATGGGGCTCAGAACAAAGAAAATATTGTCAACATCGAAGTTCTATTGATATTATAGTGAATCTTTAAATTTGCATCCTTCTGATTTTAATTAAATGAAATAGATTGTAATGCACTTGCATTAATGTTCATTTTCTATCATTTAAATGCTAAATCAAACCACCAGCAGGGCTGAGCCACTCATTTGTACTGGTTCATTAAGCTGGCTGCTTCCTTACAGCGTTTAGAAAACCCCACTCCCTTCGGATGATGTACCGAGCCAATCAGGGGAAAGTTGTATCCTTAATTGTTAACACCACAGCATAAAATCGTTGCACAACTCCTATAGTAGTAAGTTAAGTATTTTCCATCTAAACTCGCATGCATCATAAAACACCAGTGACGGAATGGAGCCATTGGTCGTTACATCCTTCTATGGCGAGAGAAGGCTTAGTCAAAGTCTTTGTCCTCGGTGGTTGCACAGAATTAATCATGAATATAGCTTGTGTTACACAACTAGAGGAGGGCTTTCCACTGCACAGTGTTAAAAACGGTCAGTAAAACTAATAATAATCAAGACTTCGGTATTTTTTAATAAGCCCCGTTACCTCTGTGTGGATCGCATTTCCGCTGAAGCCACTGAAACGGGACTTTTAGAAGAGCACTTGAAGGCAGCAGCAGTGAGCCGCTCGTGTGCGTCTCTTTCCTTTCTCCTTCCCGCCAGCAGGGCGCGTGCCTGCGCCTCCCACAGAAGACGTGTGCGTGTGTGGGGGGGCAGAGAGATAGAGGACTCCTGGCAGAGCACAAAACCCACTCCCCGTGAAGCTGCGAGAAGGAAAAGCTCCGTTGTGTGTGTGTGAGTGAGTGTGTGTGAGTTTTTAAATGTCAGAAAGCCCACGCACCGCCTCCACTGCTCGCGGGACTCTCCCAGGATGCTGGACCCTCACGCCGGGCACAGAGTGGCAGGCTGCTTGATTCTGCTCTCCCTCCGTAAGTAACGTCACTCACTTTACTTTCTAATGTGCGCGGACCTTCCGGCACCCATGGTTCATATTAAAGCGTGTTGTTGTTGTTGTTGTTCGGAGCGGACTCTTCCTGCTGGCAGCGCGTTGTGGAGAAGTGCGCGGCCATGATTCAACTTCCCGAGGAGTTTGTTCTTTTTGTTTTCTTCCACGTAGTAGTTCGCCTTGTGGGGGTCATGCAGACATTTTGACGGTTCAGGTACCATTTAAGAGTCAATGGTGGGGGGTTGAATATGTGTGTAAGTCTTCGTAAAGTAGCTCTCCTTCCTGACACATCGACGCTGCACCGGTGGCTCCACGCAGCCCGGCTGCGCTGCACGAATCCAACTACACAAGTAGAAGAGTTGACGACATGCAGTGATTCATTCCCCCTTTTGGTTGCCAAGGAAAGGAAGGAAGGAAGGGAGGAAGGAAGGGCGGGGGGCAATATAATATCCACCGTTCTACCCACGTGACAGGACTGAGAGTGTTGATGTACTTTTTTTGGTGTGCTTAAAGTTGTATTTAGCTGCTGGATCATTGTGGATAATCTGCATTTTTTAAACACATGGAGTTGATTGTTGAATAGGAAACACAGTCGATCAACAGGGGCAGTGCATGCGATGTCTGTCATTAAAAATCGAGGTCTGAAGCGGCTCATGCCGTGCACACGCGGAATATGCTCGCGAGTCCTTTTGGGTGCGGTGCGGCACTCGACGTGTGTCTGCAGCTGTGCAGAGAGTTACAGGGAGAGACCGATGTTGCATCGGCTCTGTGCACTATGGATGTCCCCTCCCCCTGAACTGTGGGGGACGCATGTCGCATGCAGGAGACTTTGAGGGTGTTAGACAGTTGTCTCTGAAATATAAGAAATAACAGAGAGGCCAACCTGTGCCTGGGCGAATACCACGGAAATATTAATGTCATGTTCAAGACAATAAACTGATCGGTTACAGTGTGAATGAATCACAATCCTGCAATAAAATGCTTCTGGTTGTACTAATACTAATATTTGGGTTTGACATTGGGTTTGATGGGAAAACCATTTTTTATTGTGAAATTTATAATAAAAGCAAAGAGAAAAAAGGCGTGCGGGAAGGCAATCATGCCTTTTAGAGTCATGACTACTTAATCATAGATATTGTACACACATACTAGGGCGGTATGGCCCAAAAAAAATCATATCACGGTATTTTGTATCCTGGTATATCACGGTATTTACCGTAACGCATTCCTTCATTGATCCCAAAAAGGACTGCAGGGCACCTGAGCAGCTGGCCAACTCGGTCCAACTGCCCAGCGAGTTAGCGTGTCAGCAAGTTAGCTTGTTAGCGTGTTCGCTTGTTAGCATGTTAGCGTGTCAGCAAGTTAGCTTGTTAGCGTGTTCGCTTGTTAGCATGTTAGCGTGTCAGCGAGTTAGAATGTTAGCATGTTTGCGAGTTAGCGTGTCAGCGAGTTAGCTTGTTAGTGTCTTAGCTGTTGTTGCCGCTAGCATTGCCACCAGAGGCAAAACCAGCGGCTCGACCAACTTTGCAACAAATTGTTTACTAATCTTACGTTAACTTATGTTGGATTTTTCCGATTTTTAAAAAAAATGTTATGAGCGTGTGTGAGAAGTTCACACCATAAGGAACTATGAAACCGGTATATCGCCCCAGGCCATCCCTAGCACACACTTACTGTAGCCGTTGTTTACATGCTGATCGTTTGTAAAGTGAATTGGTGAGTTGCCTCTGTCACTTCCCCTTTGAACGAAGTCACTTAGATCATTGGGACGGGATTTATCAGCAGCTGCCTTGCATTTATGAAGCTGCTCTCTTTTTCTTTTATTTTGTCACTCACTCCATGGAAAATCCTCTGAAGATTTCTTTCTCCCTTTGCGTTACCAGTGTTTTTTTCTTCTCGAATCAAATTGAGTTCTGTGTACTCCTTTGCTGGGAGAGTAAGCTAACCCAGCGACTCAGATCTGTGAGAGTCTGAGTCTGTTGTCACATATTATTTAGGATCAGTCTTTCGCTCTCGCCTGGGTGAGTGCGGCAATCCGCCGGTTTGTGCGTTTGCCGCAGAGGCGAAGCTGCTCTTCTGCGCGCCCCGTACTGTATGCAGTGTTTCCCCGAGGTTTACAACTTCGGGGGCCGAGGGGGGGATCAGGGTGCCACCTCAGCTGTCATTTGCGACGTGTGCACCGGAGCTGTCTGAGCATGACTGGCTCGCGGTGAGGAGCAGCACCTCCGTGTTGGACTTCCAGCGACTTCACTTGCGCAACACCTCCAAGGTTATTGCTGCTTGTCATCTTAGTTCAAGGTTGGTTTCATCTCTCCATCCCCAGATCCTGAGACCCCTCAATTCGCGTGATTTTTGGGTTTGATGGCGGTAAGGAGAGAGCTCAGGCACTGGAGAGAAGCTGTACAGTAACCCACCAGCTGGGTAGTGATGGAAAGGCCGAGATTTAGGACGCGAGCAGCCGCGGTGACTTCTCTCCATGGCTTACGGGTTCTGTGGACCATGCACCTGGTAGAGATGCCGAATGTGTTATTGATGGCTCTTAAATTAGATTCAACTTCAGTGACTCGCATAAGACAAGCGGGAAATCTTCACATTAGAGCAAATGGAACGTTTTATGCATCAAAATCTGTAGATTTTGGTAAATCGACTAACTGAAGGATCTGCTCCACTATTAGCAGGACTGCTTTCTGGCAATGCACTTGCTGCATCAATGTGGTCACACTTTGATGACATTGGTGTCAAACCAGTTTGTATGATACTTGAGATACATTGTTGATGAACAAATAACTCATGGAATGTCCAACACCATACTCCATGCTTCACCGTTAAAGTTTATGCTCCGAATTAACGACCATAATAAGTATCTGAACACATGGAGATCTGTCAAACGTTCTAACGTTTAACTGTATTTGAATCAAAATAAATCCCCCCGACAGAGCGCCGCAGCTGGGTTCAGAGTGCCAGAACGGATTCTAGATGCTGCTGGCGGTGCTTAAATGTACATGAAACGTTGAGATTTAATGTGACACAACGGCCGATGAATCCTGTGCAGCACACATGCCTGACATACAAATCACAGGCATTATTACAGTTGTATGTTTCAGGGCAAACTGTGTGCCATCTGTGGCTCTTTTTTTATGAGCTCCTTTTAGCACGAGGAGTGTCTGCTGCTTCGCTCCCCATTATATGTTCACCCATGAAATAATCAGAGAAAGTCAAAAAACCTTGACACTATATCTTTGTATAATATGTTCAGGCTGAGCACAAAGCAAATTTCAAAAGGAGAAGGCCGACAGGCAACGGAAAGAAGCAAACACCCATGCAGCACAAATTGACATTAAATCAGGTCTGCAGAGTTAAAAGTGCTGCTTATTGAGATGCATGACTCCTCTCCTTGAACGCAAGACAAGGATGAAACAACCAGGGGTCATAGCAGAAAGAATTTCAGTTCTTGATAAGTTTTGAGATCGGTCTGAGCTGTCACGCTGTCGGCGGCAGAGAAGAGCGTCCACATAGCATTGGACAGCATTGTGCAAAATCCACAAGCGGTTCAGTGACAATTTATTTTTTCATCTCATGCCAAAGCTTTCAAATTTCATGGGAAAAATTCTGCAATAACTGCATAGTAACTGTATGGTGGACAACAATGGTTGTAATGGAAAACCAACCGTAAATGGAGAATTTGTGTCGGGCAGCAAACACCCATCTGCTGCATGAAACTCTTACTCGCTAAATGCAAACTAGTTTAGGCAAACTGCGTCCTGCATTGGCACCGGAATCCCAGCATCCTCCACTACGGTTGAAGGCACAATCTGCACAGGCAGATCAGTTCTCTGAAGCCTGCACGCGTACTGTTGGGATTACAGACGGCGACCAAAAAAAACCCCCCTCAAGTCTGACAGATTTGCATGAAGATGAAAGTGAACTTTGTG